GAGTCATGAGGAACTTAATTTGTGGCCTCAATATAGTAATTCAATAGAGTAATATTGAGACCAGAAATTAGTATACTGAGGCCAAAATTTATTATATTGAACCTTTAAATTACTATATTGAGGTCACAAAATTTTGTCTTTTTGTCTTAAGTTTCTTTACTTTTGCACTGGAGTTGTGAGGCTTATTTCGCTAACAGGTAGTGGAACTATGTAGATATCAATTAGCGTAATTAGCATACCGCATGCTAACTGCGTCAAATAGACTTGTTTATGTGGTTTCTGTCACTGTGACACACTGATATCTATAAAAATGCACATAAATGTAGCTGAAACAGAGCAGCTGTGTTAGGTCTGAATTACTTTCGTCCATTTCAACAACTCAACAAGGTTTGAGGCCAAGCTGTGATGCCTGAGGCCTGCGGCTAGCACAGCCTCCATTACTTGTTACCTACGTTAGCCTCTGAGCTCCAGAATACAACTTAGGAAGAAAACTTAAGACACCAAACATGCCTTTACTGATTGAGCTCATTTCAGGTAAGACGAAAACTGTATACATTTTCTCCAAACAGCTCTGTTTACGCTAACCGGGAAAAAATATGGACTTATATATTTGAATTACATTTCAAATACATTGCACATGGGGGTCCTGACCACTGAAGAACAGGGTAAAAGGGGGCTAACAAAGTATGCAGAGAAACAGATGGACTACAGTCTGTAACTGTAGAACTACAAAGTGCACCTATATAGTAAGTGGAGCTGATAAAATGGACAATGAGCGTAGAAACAAGGAGGTGGTCATAATCTTATGCCTGATCGGTGTAAACTGCTATATTAACCAAAATATATTTCAAAATACATTTTTGCTGTAAGATGTGTGGGGAAATATTACACTTAAAAATGTGCCATACAAAAAACGTATGTAAATTAATTGATCAAATACGAAAATAGCCATAATACTTGTCTAAAGCGTATTACTGCTCGGAATACTTTTTGAAATGAATCTGTATTACAGTGTCTTAATTTTAAGAATTAGCAAATAAACCTTTAACATGGCAATAGCGAGTGTTGTAGGTACTGATGTACTGTAAAGTGCAGTCTGATGATTTGATATCTTGTTATTTCTTATTGTAATACATTATTATTTGTTGTTGTATACATAGTTAATGCAAAGTACAGTGCAAAACACGTGTCAGTACCATTTGTTTTTATCTATAACCTTAATTCAAACCACATTTAAAAAACATAAATACAAATAAATGCACTTAACAATACATTTAACAAATACCTTTTTTGGCCATTTTCATACATTGGAAAAATCTATATTTGATAAATACATTTGGAATATATTCTTTTCTATATGGGAAGAGAAAAACTGTGACATGTTTCTCCCTGTTACCTGTTGATCTCCTGCTAGATGGAGCTCAGGACTCTCCTCTGATCCGGCGGCATCTCTCCTGTGTGACCCTCTCCTCAGTGAAGACAGGGTTTTCCTCCTTGTTCTCACCTCCATAGTCAAATTAGATTCCCTTTGGAATTTACAGTAGCTTGGTTAAGTGATTCATATGTAAAGCATAAAAAAGAACAACTAAATCAGATGGCAGGATTCATGTAACCAATCAGATGGCAGGTACTGTGGCAGCCAATCATAGCTTAGGATTCAAGTAGCCAGGCAGATCACAGGATGAAGCTAGCCAATCAGATTGCAGGATTCAAGCAGCTAATGAGAACGCAGGATGATGTTAGCCAATCAAACGGCAGGATTCAAGTAGCTAATTAGAACGTAGGACGACCTTAGCCAATCATATGGCAGGAACTGTAGTAGCCAATTATATCACAATGGTTCAAGTAGCCAGTCAGATCACAGAATGAAGCTAGCCAATCAGATTACAGGATTCAAGTAGCTAATTAGAATGTAGGATGACCTTAGCCAATCAGATGGCAGGATGAAGCCAGCCAACCAAATCACAATGGTTCAAGTAGCCAGTCAGATCACAGAATATTTTATGTTTATGAATTTGTGAATAGCTAGAAAAACGTGTTTAATAAAAGATTTATTACATAATAACCGTCAACTCCATTTCCTAATCAAGGAATTCAAACAATAGACGTTTGAAAGTTAACAAATATCTGTTTTTTTTAGGATTAGAGTGAAGAAGATCAGAGCAGAGTTCCTGTGTGTGGCTGCACTCATCGACATCTTAGATGGAGCACGAATTTTCCGAGTTGTGACGTCAACATTATTTTCATAAGAGCCGGTTTATGAGGAGCCTGGCCGCTTCCTATTTCCCCCATTATATTAAACATAGGACTGCTAAACCGCAGTGGGCGCCCGCGAGGGAGTCCTCAATGAATCGGAGTGAATGGCGCTCAACGGCTAAAAACGAAGTTAAAATAGTTTCTAATCACTGAACCAGAACGTTTCTTTAATTTAGAAAGTAGAAGGATGTATTTCACTAAAAAAACAAAGAAATCTCACCTGTATATTTACATTTTTCTACAGCAAACGGGTTTTGGGCAGCAGAAGGCGGCGTCACTGCTAGTGAGTGCTGATTGGTTGGCGAGCGGAGCAGCTCATTGGCTGTTTGCGCTCACTGACGTCATGGACATGAGGCGCCGTTTTAAACTCCTATAGCTCAAGTTTGAAAGCTCTTAAAAATATAACAGCGGTGTTAAAATGTTTTATGCTGCTCTGTGTTCAGGAAATGATCGCATTCTTTTACATTAAAAATGTTGTGCATAAAAATATAAAAATATTTGATTTTGCTCAAATGCTCCACATTAACCCGTTCATTCTGGACTCGCTCGGGAGCGCCCTCTAGTGTTTGAGAAACCCGGAGGACATTGCAGAGTGGGAATTCTCCTCTCTACAAGTTCTCTGATTTTCATCAGATAACTGGGGAAGACGAGCTGCTCATCCTCCCATCAGCAACTCCAGACCTGCTTCAGGACCAGAGACAGAACGAGAGACCGAGGTGAGGCTGAAGTTGGCCTCCTGTTCACCAGCTACTTACTCGAATTTTCCCCTTCCACCTTAAATGATGCCTCAGCTACGCTCTAGTGTTGGAAGCTAAAAAGCGCCAGAATGCAACTGCTGCACCATTTAAGGTGGAACGGGAAAATTCGAATGAGAAGCTTACAAGCATAGATATTCATACCTAGATGCCGCGTTGGGTCCAGCCAGGCACGTCAACGGCGCCGCCATTTTGGGGCGGTCAACATCGCTGCTGGACTGCATTCAGTATCGTTACAGAGCAGCAGTTTAAGAAAGATACTGTCCAAAATTACACTATTTCAAGAATATCGCTCTCAGAAAGCGGGATAGGATTATATAACGGAGGGAACGCAGAGATCCACTCTCATGTTTGTGTGATGTTTATGTGCTTGGTGAGGCACAGAGAACCTGTTGATGTGATTGTTTTTCCTCTGGTTTTATATTAAGCTTATTTCATTTAATAGTCCTTACACTCCTTAATCAGTGTAGATATTTATAATAGATTAGCACCTTATTATACGGACCTGAAGTTAGTGTTCTTTTTTGCCAGCTTCTTGTTCGCATTTCCTGTTCCACCTTAAATTGTGCAGCTTCAGGCACCAGAAATTGACTGCTGCACCATTTAAGGGGGAACCGGAGAACTCGAACAAGAAGCTGGCTAATGCACCATTTAAGGTGGAACGGGAGAAGTCGAACAAGAAGATGGCAGATGCACCATTTAAGGTGGAACGGGAGAACTCGAACAAGAGGCTGGCGAATAGGAAGCCAACATAGCTTCGTCCTTCTGTGTATAAAGATTGGAAGTGATTCACACATTGATGGATTTGCTGATTGTGTTTCTACCGGAGCGCTAAACTCAGTTTTTAACGTCAGATGCAGACTGAATATTTTCCTGTTGGTCCGGACGGCTAATTTTTACGATCAGTTATTAAAGAAATAAAAGCTACCGAGAGCAGGCCGAGCAGCCTAGATTAACCTGTGTCTGAGGATTATTACTAAACAGATTTGGTGAAAATCGAGTAATGAGGAAGTTGAGGCTGATTTAATCCTGAGACTCATCGTCTCTCAATACAAGTGAATTTGTTCACAAGCGGATCTTGACCGCTCCAACATGGCGGACGCGCAGACGTATCGCCTCACATAGAGAACATCAGACAAGGCGGCGTCTGGGTTTGTTTATCTATGCTTACAGGCTTCGACCACGATCTGAAGCTCTTACCGGTGGTTCTGCTGTAATGACCGGCTCTTTTCTGCCGCCTGAATAAAAACACCTTCTTATTTTTACGGCTTATTAAATATGCTGATTGTCTCCTGTTCGAACTTTACACTTTCTAAACCACCGACTAACCGCCTCAGTTCAGCCTCACGTCTCCATGGCAACTAACGTCTGTTTCTGTAGTCAGTACATAACAACCAGTGCAGTAATAGATCGATCTAAACTGTGTCGTAAGAATACGCAAATGAACAAAACCCGAAAAGGCCATTTTATATAGAAAATACACAATCTTCACATGTACAGCACACTCAGTGTGCTATGAATGAATACTGATAAATTAATGCAGATACTTAATTTAATAATTAAACAATAAATGAAGACATGAACAGGCATGAACCCACCGGCAGGGGGCACTGTTGATGCAAAATAGTTTATCACATCAATTTAGTGTTAATTTAATCTACTTCATTTTCTTCTGATTTTATATATATATATATATATATATATATATATATATATATATATATATATATCATTATTATTTTTTGTATTCTTTATTTCCTTTATTTAAACTTTTGACTTCTCATTGTGAACTGTTGTTATACTGAAACCTCTGATTTCTGATAATTACTTATTCCTCTAGCAATAAAATTATATATATAAAAATAAATAAATAAAAAAAAGAATTAAGCAGAATATTGAAAAATGGGTGAAGTTGCCCTTTAAACCGTCTCAGTGTAGTCCTCCGCAGCAGCAGGGGGCGCGACACTGCAGTATTCCGTCACTCTGCTGCCTTCGCGGCTGAGGATGTGTCACTCAGGCAGACCGAGAGCAAAACAACAGCAGTTTGGGCCGGTTTGTCTCAGCTTTTCCTCACAGATGTTCTGTTTGTCCAGCTTATTAAAGGAGTTTGGTGCTTTTTTGGTCTCGTATTAAGGCTTTTGGCAGCGGAGGCGAACATAGAGACTCAAAAACACTCCAGCTTCTCCGCTTTTTCTGCCGCCGCCGCTCCTTAATGCCCCAGCTCGGGGCAGATTAGCCGCAGGCTGAGCTTTGCCTCGCCGTATGAGGATGTCCTGCTGTTTGCTGGACTTCTGTCGGGTCCAGGAGCTCAGACAGGTCCGGGAGTTTCTCTTCCCCAGCCAGAAATCCGCTGCTGTGCCGGACGAGAGCAAAGACCAAGCAGGTGAGTCAAAACGGCATTAATGTGCCCAGAGACACTCACATTGGGGGTTTAGCTAACTGACTGAGCTCCCTGCCTGTCCGCGAGTCCGCGAGTCGATTCTGTTCATTTCATTGTTTATTGTGTCATTAATTTATTTAAAAACAAAGCACAAATCGAGGCTGTAGGTTTGCTTCTTATTAGCCAGCTTCTCATTTCCCGTTCCACCTTAAATGATGCGGCACTTAACGTTAAATCCTTGTATCTACACTCATTGTCCATTTTATCAGCTCCACTGACCACATAGGAGCACAGAGGAGTTACAGACTGTAGTCCATCTGTTTCTCTGCATACTTTGTTACCCTGTTCTTCAAAGGTCAGGACCCCCTCAGGACCACCACAGAGCAGGTACTGTTTGGGTGGTGGATCATTCTCAGCACTGCAGTAACACTGATGTGGTGGTGGTGTGTTAGTGTGTGTTGCACTGGTCTGAGTGGATCAGACACAGCAGTGCTGCTGGACTTTTTAAACACTGTGTCCACTCACTGTCCACTCTATTAGACGCACCTATGTTGTTGGTCCACCCTGTAGATGTAAAGTCAGAGACGATAGCTCATCTGCTGCTGCACAGTTTGTGTTGGTCATCCTCTAGTCCTTCATCAGTGGTCACAGGACGCTGCCCACAGGACACTGTTGGCTGGATATTTTTGGTTGGTGGACTATTCTCAGTCCAGCAGTGACACTGAGGTGTTTAAAAACTGCTGAGAGTGATCCGCCACCCAAATAGTACCTGCTCTCTGGTGGTCCTGTGGGGGTCCTGACCACTGAAGAACAGGGTGAAAGAGGGCCAACAGAGTATGATGTCATGATGTATGATATCATTATAAAATACACCACAATATGTCACAGTATGGTCTTAGATCTGCAAGTACCAAATACAGAAAACATGGAGAGTCTTTCAGTTATTCTGCCTCTAAACTCAATTCCACCTTTTATTAGACAGTCAAGCTCCGTGCACATGTTTAAGAAAGATTTAAAAACATATTTCTTTAACTCCGTGTTTAATTAGAACTCTACATCTCTTGGTATTAATCTTTTTAATTGATCTACGTCATTGCTTTGTGATTTTAAATGAATACTCATAATTTCTTGTGTTACTATTAAGCTGTATCATCTGTTCCTAAAGCACTTTGAGCTTTGAAAAGTGCTACATCAATAAGGATTATTATTATTATTATTATTATTATTATTATATACTTTTCTGAGCATATCGTTGATATTGTCAGCACTTAAAATCACTTTTGAACTGCATATTTGATTAAAAAGAGCATCATTAGTCCTCATTAATTCAGTTTAGTTCACAGTGTGTGAAATGTTGAATTCAAGTACGTCTATAAAAAGTAGTTTTTGGTAGTGTTTTTAAAACGTGGTACTGCTTTGTCTTCTAACTTACCAGATGTCAGAAAAAATAAATATCAGGACACATTGTGCATCATAAAAACTCCCTGAAGTATTGTGATATTATATTTTGCCGTATCGCCCACTTACACAAATATTGCATGTGTGTTTATTGGCCTCTACATCAGTGGCTACACCAGCAGTCAGGATTTCTTAAGGGGTGGGAGAGTTCCCAGTATGACATACACCGATCAGACATAACAGTATGACCGCCTCCTTGTTTCTGTGCTCATTGTCCATTTTATCAGCTCCACTTACTATATAGGTGCACTTTGTAGTTCTACAGTTACAGACTGTAGTCCATCTGTTTCTCTGCATACTTTGTTAGCCCCCTTTCACCCTGTTCTTCAGTGGTCAGGACCCCCATGGACCCTCACAGAGCAGGTACTATTTGGGTGGTGGATCATTCTCAGCACTGCAGTGACGCTAACGTGGTGGTGGTGTGTTAGTGTGTGTTGTGCTGGTCTGAGTGGATCAGACACAGCAGTGCTGCTGGAGTTTTAAACACCTCAGTGACTGAGAATAGTCCACCAACCAAAAATATCCAGCCAACAGCGTCCTGTGGGCAGCGTCCTGTGACCACTGATGAAGGACTAGAGGATGACCAACACAAACTGTGCAGCAGCAGATGAGCTATCGTCTCTGACTTTACATCTACAGGGTGGACCAACAACATAGGTGCGTCTAATAGAGTGGACAGTGAGTGGACACAGTGTTTAAAAAGTCCAGCAGCACTGCTGTGTCTGATCCACTCAGACCAGTGCAACACACACTAACACACCACCACCACATCAGTGTTACTGCAGTGCTGAGAATGATCCACCACCCAAATAGTACCTGCTCTGTGAGGGTCCTGAGGGGGTCCTGACCACTGAAGAACAGGGTAAAAGGGGGCTAACGAAGTATGCAGAGAAACAGATGGACTACAGTCTGTAACTGTAGAACTACAAAGTGCACCTATATAGTAAGTGGAGCTGATAAAATGGACAATGAGCATAGAAACAAGGAGGTGATCATAATGTTATGCCTGACATAATGCATGCTGGGTATTGTAGTGCGAGAACATTGTTGAATGAAAAGCTGATGACTGAGTGATGCAGTGCTACAGAATATTATAACATAAGTCATGTATTAAATGCCAGTTTTAGGCCAGAATGCCCCTTTTAAGCCTAGTTTTGGATTCAGTTCACCATTCAGATGAGGCCTACAGAGTAAAAAGGCTTTTCGGTCTCAGCTTAGGTTGAATCTGGGTGTGGGAAATCAGCCCAGTGGCAATAATGGGCTGTTTATACATGCCAGATTGTTTAAGCAGCTACTGTAAGGCTGTTTTTGGTGGTATTTATGGAGAATGAAGAACACATGTTTTTTTGTGGGTAGTTATGAGTTTAAAACCCATTTCTTTGGGTTTGTACTACATTAGAGGAAAAAATAAATAAATAAATGAAGAGTGAATAAGATTTTCAGCAACTTTAAAAGGGGTAGGCTGTACAGGCATGTTGTTTGTAGCTGGACTGCAGCGGTGGTCCCCCAGTCTGGAGGTCCTGTGCCGCATTAAAGCCACAGTTAAGTGGAATATAAAACCTATTACCAATCTGTATTATCCTCACTGTAAGCATAGATCAGCCAAGATATGTTTGGTGTCTGAAGTTTGCTTTAGTTTTGCACTGAAGCTATGAGGCTAATGTAGCTAATAAGCAGTTGGACCTTATGTTCTAGCTGTTAGCATCATACAAACTGCATGTCTAAATGAGCCCACACTTGCCTCAGACTGTGTCGAGTTGTCAGGTCTTTCAAACAAACGTGTTTTTGACGCTCTATGACAAAAATGAAAGTACAGACAGACTTCAGGCTTCAGACTGGATGGTGCCGCTGATTTTAGCAATGTGAAGTGCATTCGTTCATTTATTTGACCAGCCATGCATGTTTTGGGGATAAAACAATGGAAATTTGATTTGAGTAAAGATAAATATATCTTTATACGCTGTTGTCGGATTAAAATCTTATATCTCCAAAATGGTAACTTTACAGGAGAAGGAAAAAACTTACTGTACTTTTAATGTAAGTCAATGGAACCAGACTTCTTTCCAAGTAATTTTGAGCCGTTTCTTTTGGTCTGTTCATCATGAAATTTACACACAATGTAAAGAGCAACAGGCATTTTCACATTATGTCAAAAACTGACAAAAATGGAGATACGAGGTTTTGTTCCGACAGCCGCGATAAGGATAAAGATCATTTTTATCTGCTGCTTGAACTTCCTGCAGGGTTTGGGAGCGAGACGAGGAGGCAGATCAGCAGTGAAAGCTGTAAAATGTGTAGTGCAGGTGTTCTCTAGGTCCAAGATCGAGAGCCGCTGGAGTGTCAAATCGAGAGAAAGAGGAGAGAATATATGACGTGTGCTTTGCTGCACTCCGCTACCCTGCAGTGACAGCGCGAGGGAGGGAGCGGTGCGTTTGCCCTTTACTGAATGACTCATCATGTACGACCGGAATACATTACACTCTGATGGAAGGAGAGGAAGAATAAGAAGGAGAGGGAGAAAGGGCACGCAGAGGTTCAGAAGAAGCTAAGGTTGTACATGAAGTGTTCATCAGTTCATCTGCAGCTATTGTGATTTATATTCGATTATAATGGGATCCTCTGATCATTACTTTTTCATAGGTGGTTCCTGTTTCTTCACAGCCAAATTTGGTGGACGATTTTTGTTATTTATTTATTATTTTTAACCAGAAGCTCAGACTCTCTGGACTGAACAGACCTCTGTAGTCATGTGGTTATTCTGTAGTTGGTGTGATGCCTGTATTGGGAACTCCAGGCCTAAGCAGACTTCTCTATGAGAAAAATGAATATCATTTTTAAAACCTGCACCCTGTGATAAACGACAGTCGGGCCTCATTTTTTTCTTCAATTTGTTCTTGAGAAAGGTCCTTAGAAAAAGTCTACGTCAGATTCATGACGTGTTCTCAAACCACAGAGCTGTTCTCACCTTTGTGCTCTTGAGTGAGTCCAGATTCTGTTCTTACCTGAGAATAAATCCCAGATAAGAAAACACTGGTGAATGTCAGAATCTGCATAAGTGAGTTTTAAGAAGAAATTTCTTTCGGTTGGTGAACGAGGCCCGTTGTTCCAAAGCAGACGCGTGTTGCTTTCCGAATGTTTTATTCTGAATATCACCAGATCAATTCCAAGGTCGTTAAGGAGCTGAAATACTGCTATTACTACATGCAGGCTAACGCTGCTGCACATTGAATCAACACAATAGAGATCGGCAGTCTCATCAAAATACCCCACTGAAAAAAGTAAGCTTTGTCACACATGGTAGTTAAGTTGCATTCCGACTAATTTGGAAATTTGAGTATCCGAGATAATGAAAAGTCAATGAACAGTATCTGGTTGACCACATGGATGGGAAAAAGCACCAAAAAAGCCTTTTTTTATTGGGTTGGTAGAGGCCACAGCAGATCTCTCCCCTTGTTATGTTTGCCCGAAGTGTGCTTAAGTATTTCCGCAGTAGCAGCAGTAGCGTGAGGAGCTTTAGCACAAGCTGACGTTGAGCAGAAGGAGGATGGATGCTATACAGGTACATTCAGCAATTTCCCAAAAATATACTGATAATAAATACTGTTAGCAGAGACAAGGGAGGTTTTCAGGATTTCATATAATAATTTGAGCGTAGAGTGTGGACTCGTGTGCTTGTGGAAGTGGAATCGCTTTCCTCAACAACTGTTGGCAGCTTTGAGGGCCGGTCACTAAAACACAAGCAGGTTGAGGTGTAAAGAGGGAAAGTGTATACAGAGTTACAGGCCAGTTCTGAGCCCCAAAGCAGCCTAAAATTGTTTTAAAACTTAAAACAGTTATCTAGCATGATAATACCGTGTTATCAACTGTTATATCTACCACTCGATACACGTTCACCGCATGGCATGACACAATCCGTTACCGCGCCATGTATCAGTAATCTGATTGCTGCTCAGTTCATTTGCATAAAGTTCACCCAGAGCGGAGCAGAGACATGATGTGCGTCAGTGGTCACAGGACGCTGTTGGCTGGATATTTTTGGTTGGTGGACTATTCTCAGTCCAGCAGTGACACTGAGGTGTTTAAAACTCCAGCAGCACTGCTGTGTCTGATCAGTGTCCTGTGGGCAGCGTCCTTTGACCACTGATGGAGGGCTAGAGGATGATTAGCTAATACTGTACAGCAAGAGATGAGCTATTGTCTTTGGCTTTACATCTACAGGGTGGACCAACAACATAGGTGCGTCTAATAGAGTGGACAGTGAGTGGACACAGCGTTTGAAAAGTCCAGCAGCACTGCTGTGTCTGATCCACTCGTACCAGCACAACACTCACTAACACACCACCACCACGTCAGTGTTACTGCAGTGCTGAGAATGATCCACCACCCAAATAGTACCTGCTCTGTGAGGGTCCATGGGAGTCCTGACCACTGAAGAACAGGGTTCTTCAATTACAGTTACGCGTATGTGTGTATGTGTGTATGTGTGTGTGTGTGTGTGTGTGTGTGTGTGTGTATATATACACATTTATGCCTGCTAATTGCGTTTTGTTGCCTTGTACTGAGCAATGACAATAAAGTTAAATCTATCTGTCTATCCATCCATTCTTCCATCCATCCATCCATCCATCTATCCATCCATCTCACGTTAGCGCATGTGAACAGGTTGAGGTTTCAAATTTAACAGGACCTATCAGGCCAGGACGCTTCGGGTCTCAAAGCTGAGGTACAGGTCGACTTCAGGCTTCAATTTCATGCCTGTGCAGATCCCTAATGCCTGACTGCGATTCTGATTTTCTCTCTTTTTGTCTCTCTGTGTGATCCTCAGGAGAGAATGAGTTAACCTGGGATGACTCAGACTGGGGCTCGTGGGAGGCGTCAGACACTAAAGTGGATGGAACCACGGTCTGTGCTCTGCTTATCTTTCCCTTTACTGTCTTACCTTTTTCTTAATACACAAAGTGCTGACTGTGTCAACGAATAATCGTAATTAAACATGACTGTATTCTCATCAGCTCAGAGCTTGAACCGTTATGTAGTCACTATAAGATAAGCAAATAAATTAGCTCTTATTTTTATACGCAGATGCACTCATGGCTGCTTACAGAACACGTTACTGCAGATAAAACTAGCCGACTTGACATCTGTCTATGTCCGCATTTCCTCAGTATCTGCTGGCTCAGCCTTGTTTTTTCGCACCCATATGGTCCATAATAGAAATGAAGCCACAAATAAATAAGAACGTTATTTATAATGCATCTCTCTTAGCCAACAGTCCTGTCATATTTCTGTGACTTTTCAAGTGTGCTTAAATCATTCTGTCATGTTTCTCTGCAGGCTGAAGAGGAGGTGCAGCAAGGCGCCCCTTGGCTGCAAGACTGTGTTCTCTCGCTCTCTCCCTGCTCAGACCTCCTGGTCATCGCTCGAGAACATAAAGCAGCCTTTCTCTCTGGTATGCACAAATGGCAGTGTTAAAATCTGGCTTCTTTTTTAAAGCCACAGTGCGTCTAACACCTCTGATATGAATGCTGCAAGAGCTGGACATTTGTCCACTATGTCAACAGTGTAGCAAGCTGTAAGAGAAGTATAAGGGTGCCTACACACCAGTAGTTGACGCAGCATCAGGAACGCAGTGTATTTCAGCTCTGTCGGACTACGAACGTGCCTGAAAAGATGCATCGTTGAGCATCGAAAACCATTTCAACTTTTGCTGCAACGGATTCTGACAGGGAAGCACGTCAACCAATAGAAATAGGCAGGCAGAAGATGGATGAAAATCCAAGATGAAGGAGAGTAGCGACAGTATGTAGTCTCGTCCTGTTCAATATGACTTCTTTATCTTCGTGGCTTTATAACCATCGCCAAAACTTTCTTTCGATGGCCCATATATCTTTGTTTGTGGTCCAAATGTTTTGTGTCCCACTGGATTTCAAACTGCACAAACTCCGCCCCACTCCAGCCGTGGACACGCCTTATAGATCTGCATGCATATCCGTCTTATCACTCTGTCCTTGCGTTGTCTGGTGTGTAGGCACCCTAAAAGACATGTTTAACAGCCTTGTAGCTACTGCCATCTACAGGCATTAAGCATATGCGTCCACATTGACTGACCTTTAGCAGTGGGTGTGATTTCACAGATGAGTAAATTAATAAACGTTGAAGGTTCAAAATCACGATTTCATGATTAATCGTAATATCAGCACAGCTCCACATACTCACATGTTTCTATACTGCTGACTGTATTGATTTGCAGCTAAATGGCAGACAGATGACTCGGGGAAAGAGGAGATGACCCTGGCTGTGTCCTGGAGCGGCACGCTGAGCTCTGAGGAGGGGTAAGAGATGGGATGGCATGAAGGAGAAATAAGAGGAGAAGCAGTTCAATGAAATGATCTCAATCTACACTAAAAGACAGCACAGCACAGTTAAGCAATAGAACACGAGAGGGAGCGTGTTATCGCGATAACACACAACCTCAAGTGTTCTATTGCGTTTATACAACAGTTAAATAAATAAAGTAATAAATTAATAAACTGGGTCGTGAACGCGGCGTTTCATATGTTTTAATGTTCGCAGTTCCTTCACCAAATTATAGTTTCTTAACGAGCAGTTTGTTGCTGCGTCAGAGTAACGAGCTCCGCCCACTCGCTGCACAGGCTGCTGTAAGACTCGCCTTTTGAAGTGCGGACTGAGCCATAAAACTGCCGCAATATCAAGTTTAGCTCAGTTTTGTCCGTTTTTGCCAGATCAGTATTAATGTTGTTTTGTTCCAGCCAGTCTGTAAAGCATCTTACAGCCCATTTAGTTTGTTGAATGGTATTGGGTTCATTTCTGGCTGATTCCAGGTTGTTTAGCTGTTCTTCTGTCACAGCTGCCGACTGAAAAGCTGCTCAGTGGTGATGACAGTTTGGGAATTTAGTGTAGTCTCATCTTCAGAGTCTGACCAAATCGGCTGTCGGTCAAATGTGATCTTAAAAGTGTCCATTTTCTGTTTGTGGCAAAGTAAGAAGTAAAAACTTTTAAATGGCTTGGGCGTCTCCTACAGTTGGCAAAGTCGTTGCTTAGCAACAGCGTCTCAGCGGATTGTGATGCAGTGTTTGTGAAAAAATGCTTCTCAACCAATCAGCTCGCATGGCCGGAACTACCTGTTGTATAATAATCATATAAATGGCGAGTGAACAGATATAGATGAATTAAAATCAACAAAATGGACAAAATATCTGAGGACCTTAGATGGGGAGCTAGGGAGAGAAGAAGAAGCATAAGTATCAGTGAATGTGGAGAGATGGATGTAAGGTCACATATCGTGCTCCTTCTCTAAAAACAGAAAAAGTTAAGGACTTTTGTTTATAAAACTGTTACCTAATGGCTTCTAACAGTGCTTCATAGTTTTCACACCTAGTTCATATGCTAAAATTTGCACCAGTGTTTGGATTTTTCTAACACTGGTCTTTATTGATCAATGTTGCGTACGTTCAAATCTGATCCACAAAAGAGGGAACGCAAATTTCGCCAACAGTTTTGTTATTCATCAATAAGGCAGGCTTGCCAAAAAAGACTTGTAAATGAGGTGCTGGTAGGCTGGTGCTTGATTTCATGCTTATGCTGATTCATTGTTTGCACTCACATCTCCGCTTGTTTCCACACTGTATGAGTTTGATGAATAAGACGCAGTTCTGACGTTATTAAGGCGATCAGATCTGCAAATCCTTTTTGTACATAATTTGATGAGTAAGGGCCAATGAGTATGTTTTCATGCACTCAGTAATCGGATGACTGCAAAATCAAAGTGCCAATTTTGTCAGTAATCCGATCAACGTGTTTACATGCACTTGAGTAATCAGATAATGCAAAAACTCTGGGTCTACATGAGTCAGACAATAATAGGATTTCTGCTTTGCAGCCGGCCAATAAACTCACAGACGAAGACTTTTTTTCGTGCCACTTTACCTGAAACTATGAACATGCATCATCTAAAAGATGAAGAATATTTAAATCCTTCATTTCGTCAAGCATGTATTTCCTTTTGCTGCGTCTCGCAGCGACGCTGCTTGCTAATATCCTGTACCCCCCTCTGTTTTTCGCACATGCACAGAAATCTGAAAGAAATCAGAGTAAGAGTTCACATGCACTGAGAAATCTGATTACTGAGCTAAAGCCCAGCTCTCTTTATCAGATTTCTTAATCGGATTTCTAGACCTTACTCCGATCTAAGAAATCGGAGTATGCTGTTTACATGGCAGTTCAATTTGACAATAATGCAAAAGCTCTGTTACTTTTTTGTTTGTCTGCATTAATCAGCCTATTTTTTTATTTGAACTTTTACCAGCCTATGACCATACCATTTATGTTGCAGTAAAAAAGCCTACATGCTTTGCAGTCGGAGTAGTAAAAATAAACCTTACTAGATCCCAACTTATTTATGATTCATTAGTTTAATTACACATTTAAAATCAGCCAGTCAGGTCGCTGATGTCTGGCCCAACCTGAAAATACGTTCTGTGGTCCATGTGACAAAATCTGTTCTTATATCTGACACATTTTGATGCTTGTCTGCTGTGATTAGCAGCAGCTGATGCTACAGGAATGATACAAGCCTTATGCAGACAGTACAGCACAGACCACAGTTCAGCTGTGTGGTGAGGACCCAAGTACAGTTGTCTAAATGGACATAACTGAAGAAAGTAGTTGAAACTGTACAGATCATCAGGTCCCCATTAGCAGGATTAGAGTGCCTTTATTTTTAAGTATAAAGTACATCAGCTTTTTTTCCATAATTGATGTCGTCAATGAGTCAGTGAAGCTGTGTTGTCTAATCATTGCAGTTAAAAATAGAGAGCATTGATTACTGAGACAGGCTTCTCTTGCTGTTAAAATTTGTAGTCATTTCTCTTCTTTTCTCTGTACAGGGAGTGTGTGAGCAGTGTTATCTGCATCCCACTGGCCAGCCAGAAGAGGTGAGACCATTCCTATCACACTTACACACACACACACACACACACACACACACTCAAACCCTCTATTTCAGCGTTGGCCAAACTCTTTGTCTTGGGATGTCAAAGTGCAATGTTTATGGTGGCTGAAGGCTGAAAAGAAGACGTCAAATAAAGAAAACGTCAAATAAAGTTCTTGCAAATGTATATTTAATAACATTACACTTTTTTTTTACTAAAATACTTAAAAAATACAGAATTTCTTAAGTTGATTGTGGTACAAAAATGTTTGTTCTCTCATTGGTTGAGGGAGTTGGGTTAAAGCAGGCATGTCAAACTAGGGACCTTCCAGGCCAAAAAGCTGCCGATATTAGTATTTACCTTCATCTAAATCTCTAAATTCGGTTCATGAAGGCCTTGCTAATTAGCTAACAAGTCAGACGTCCTTACACACCAGTTTTGGCCTCTTAGGGTGGTCCTGCTCTATTTGTATTAAAGGCAGACAACAAAATTTTATTTTGTTTTAAGTTCATGATTGTGTTTTTATTTAGGAGTTCCACAGGTCGTCCAGACTGGACCTGTATTGTGGTTGGATTCAGCTCAGGATACGTCCGCTTCTACACAGAGGTACCGTAACATATTTGTTGTCCAAAATGTACATCTTTAGTTCTGCACTGATGCTATAAAAGTGCTAAAGCTTATATGCCAATTAAGGGAGTTAAGGGAAATCCATCGATTTTTCCTATTTTCCGCATAATTCAGTCATTGTGATGCTTACCAAAGTCATTCAGAGTGGTCTGATGTGAAAATTTACCAACCCAGATTTCTTTACAGTGGTGGTGATAGGAACCAGGGGTCACAGTGTCTCCAACACAAATATACTCATTTTATTTGTTTCCACTATGTCTTTTGTGTTTCTATATGTAATGTTGATAATAGTAAAATAATAGTAAATCTAACAAATGACATAATATTTTGCCTTCTAACACCCTACATGCATAGCTGTTCCATGTTTTAGGCCAAAACCCTCTCTCAGGACTATCATAAAAAATATCTCAGATTTCAGGGAGCATATTCATAACCATTTGCCTTTAGAAGCATTAAACTCTTGAGACGTCTGGTTCCTGGCACCACCACTGTGAACAGTGTAATAGTAATAGAGGCAAGTTTCACTAGAGTGAAGCATTTCACATCAAACCACATTGAATGACTTTATATTTTAACCATTTATTTAGCAGAAATGTTGAAAAATCCTTTGTAGGTTATCTCATAGACTTGCTTGTGTGGTTTCTGACACTGTTGATGTGGGTATGACACACTGTTATCTATAAAATGGTGAAAAGTATGACAAGTAATGTGTAACATACATTTGTCCATATTTAGACAAATAATTTGACCTTACAGCTACTTGTAGATTCTCACATATCCACAATTTGAATGTGTGTGTGTGTGTGTGTGTGTATGCGCAGAATGGAGTTCTTCTTTTGGCTCAGCTACTAAATGAAGATCCAGTTCTTAGGCTGAAGTGTCGAACATATGAGATCCCACGCCATCCTGGAGTTACTGAGCAGGTGTGTATATACGTAAGACCACACATAATGTGTATATGCGTGCATATATATATACACAGAGTGTCCCAAATTGACATCATTTGAGATGTGAATATCTGAGTAACTACATGTAGGCTTCAATAGGCTTCATGTTGAACAATACAAGATTTATTTATCAAACAAGAAATTCAGAGGGATGTAGATTTTATAACCGATTTCACAGCTTCACTAATGTAATATCTTCCGATACTGGTGGTCGTCCAGATCCCTTTGCGCTGCACAGACAGCCTTCCTCTTTGAATTTTTTGTGCCGTGTCCAAATCTGCTTTCCAGTTGGTGCATTTTTATTGAATTTTCTCAAAAATGCACACTGCACACTCTTGTTTGACTGTGTTCGAACATATTCTAACACACAAAATGCCTTTTCATTTCTAGTGAACGCCATTCTTCAACCTGAAAAAAAAACATTAAAAATTAAACTTTGAAGTTTTTACACATTTTGTTAAAATTTGAGATCATTTGAGGGAGAATTGGCTACGTTATTAGACTACGGAATGATGTCAGTTTTTTTTTCAATATTTCAATATATACACAGAAACATATAGAAATATATATATACACAGAAACATATAGATATATATATATATATATATATATATGTGTGTGTATGTGTGTGTATATATATATATATATATATATATATATATATATATATATATATCACACACACACTATATATATACATATATATATTATATATATATATATATATATATATATATAAAAAAAAATATGTATGCATGCATGCATGTATAAGTGAGCAGATGAAAATACACTCGCATCACCACATACTTCATACACACGCCTTCTGGTGTAAGTACGTACAAATCTGCTGAGTTTCTTCACTCTAAATGCTACAGATCAATTGACACTAAGTATTTTTTTGCCTACAGTAAAAATACATGTGCATTGTACATTTAAGTATCATGAACTAAACCTCAAAATCCATTTTCATCATTTTTATTATCTGCCTTGAGGTTTGATCTCCGCTTTTGAAATACAAGTGTTTAACTTCGTTGTTGATGCTGTACATCTTTCTCAGTCATTTTGTTCAGGCCGAATGTATTATAATCATGTTAAACATTTATCAAAATTGGATTTTATTCTTAAAAACAGTGATTGCAAACTTTTGAACAGTACTGTAAGACAGAAGTCATTGCTCATTAGGATCTGCAGTCACTCTCCACTAAAACGAAGTGACTAACTGAGGTGTGTGTCTTACAGCATGAGGAATTGAGTATCCTGTACCCAACAGCTCTGGTCACCATTGATGGCTTCAGCCTCTTTCAGTCTCTGCGCGCCTGCAGAAACCAGGTTGCTAGAGGTGGGTGTACGCATGTACACATGCAAGTGTGTAAGAAAGATTGTTAATCTAAATTAGTTCAAATGCTCTTGGATGGTTTTCTTTGTATGTTTTGAGGTCGAGCTGCAGAATAAATCATTTTTTTTAAATCATGTTTTTACTGCATAGTCTAGAGACCATTCAGGCAATTAAAAAGCACCCAAGTGAACAGCTCGTCTTGAACTACTAGCCTTCAACTGTGATGGCTATTCTTTGGCCCGATCCCATTTCTTATTTTTGCCCCTACCCCTTGTTTTCGAGTGTCACCTTGCCCCTTGGAACTGAGTTACAAGGGGTTAGTGGTTGAAGACTTCCTCTACACAATGGGACCCTCAAATAAAGAAGAATATTATTATTTCATTAACAGCTACTAGCGCTGCTCTGTAGGCGACCCTGCCAGTCTGCAGTGACAGCAGAGGAGGGTAAAGTTCAGCTCCTCACTGCTGGGCTTTAGTTACATTTAGGGCCTCATATGCCTTCAAAGAGGGACAATTATTTATGATCACCCACCTCTAATTTTTCAGTGATATGAAGATGAAGTCAGATATTCACCAGATTCTCGTTCGAATTTTCCTGTTCCACCTAAATGGTGCAGCAGTTCTGATGCCTGAGGCGCCAGAATGTAACTGCTGCATGTTTTTAAGGTGGAATGGGAAATTTAGATAGCTAACTACTGAGACTTTAGCGTACTACTAGAGATTTTTATGCTTGTTATGAAGAAAAGGACCATAATACATTGAAATGACATTAATGATAATACAGTGGTTATTGTACTTTTTAATAGAGAAAATTCTCACATTTGTGTCTGTCTTTGGTTGCACGCGCAGCCATCTTTCTGGTTTTACTTTTTTCCCCATAACACTCTGTTTGGAGTGAGTCTCTGAAAAACCTCTGTTTGGAGGGCCATGTAGCCCTAACACTTCACCCTACCCCTCTATCTCAACAAAAACTGGGACACTCTACCCCTAGGCATAAACGTGCAAAACGGAGGGGTAAGGGCTAAGTGGTAGGGATAAGGGGTGAAATCAGACTGGGCCTTAGTCCCAAAGCTGTGTGCAAATATATGATGCAGTAATAACTACGGTCACAACAAACTTGCATCACCATAAGGAGCTTTTTAAGGAATTAAATTAATAAAATTTTTATAGCCTATACAGAAAAAGCTGTTCATGGAATGCTGACTGTGATTCTGTCAGCATTACAGTGCACCAAAAATGTTTCGTTGGTTTTCTAAGTGAAAATAAGTTCACACTCTCTACCGAGAACACACCTCTGCACATTGTAATGTATAGTTACAGTTTATCTGCTGAATTTAAAATATTGGGGAAAAAAAATCATTGTGTGGCTTTTTTCTCAGCGTTTAAAACAGCATTAAAATTGCACTAAAACCTGCGGAAATAGGAACATTTACGCTTGTGTTAACTTGGTTGCACTTAGAAAATGAACAAACATGTGATTTACTTTTTTTTTTAGTGTATTTTATTTTAATTTTTTTTTGTTTAACCCTAATTTTACATACAACAGTATCACTATTTCATTACTTTTATTGTGCACGGTAGTTAATGGTGCTTTTTTAGCTGTTTGCTTAAAGGAGATGTTAGAATGCCAAATAAAGAGTCTGTACTTGCTGCACATCTTGTTTTAGTCATAAATTATTGCTTATCATTATCGTGTTAACCATCAGCTTTATGGAACATTGCCTTTTCCATATTGTGCAGCACTATTTTGTAGTTGAAGTAACAGTCAAGATACTTCAGCAATGTGTTTCACAGCTCACAGTAGAATTTGTTTTAATGTCATCATTTATCTTTCTGTGCTGGCCAATAGAAATGTCTGTAAAGGACCCAGGTATTTGGTGTAAATGAACACACACACTCATATTCCTTTCCCTTTTCCTCTTTATGTGCATTAGCTGTAGTGTAGCTCTAGTCATACTCTAAAAGAACGTTTCACTGTCTAGTGTTTGGTAATAAATTGCTTTTAGCAGTTGTAAGAGCTGTAGTTTGATGTCCTATTTTGTAAAGCAGGATTTCTGTCAGCCACCTTAAATTAAATGTCAGAACAGTCCAGTAAAAGCAAAGGTATTGGTAGAGGCTGTAGGTGTAAAATGTGTTGACTCACTGTGCAAGTTGACAGCATTAATTAGAAGATATTAAAATTGATTATAATCTATTCCAACAATATTACTCACAGTTTTAAAGTACAGGGTGATTCAAAAAGCTTCATCCGATTTCAAAGCACTATATTTTTACAACTGTGAGACACTAGGAACCAATCACATACCAATTGAAAGAGGGGGTCACAGAGTTTCTGAATGTCAGTGGAAGATGGCTCCCTTCAGTCTGCGAGGAGATGCGACCCCTGAGCAGAAAGCGTGTTGCGTTCTCCACTTCAATAACAGTGAATCCGTCATAACTGTGCAGCGTGATTTTCATCAGCAGTGAAACTTCAACAGCTCAGAGCGTTCGTCGTTGGTTCCACAACACTGGATGATCTCCGAAATCGCACTGAAAGAGCCGTGAGTGCAGTGACACCCGACATGCTCAATCGAGTATGGGATGAATTTGACTATGGTGTTGATGTTGTCTGTACAGCTGGAGGAGGTTCACACTGAGTGCTTGTACAATTACATAATAAACTTTATGTTCACTTAAACCATTTACAGTTTACTGCATTGTTCTGTAATGATTTACAAGTAAAATAAATCATTTTGAAATCGGATGAATCTTTTTGGATCACCCTGTATTAAAGGAAAAACCTGAACAAATGAGTGGAGAAACATAAGGACAGATGCTTAAGGGTTAAGAGTTAACGTCCTGTCATGCTCTGCAGCATGTTTAAAAGTGCTGAACAGGGACAGTTGACCTTGATTTTGGATCAAAATGGCAATAGGAGAAGATCTAAGTGACCTTGAAAGAGGGTTTAGTATATGGCAGAACAGGTGGCAGGAGCTTCACTCGTAAAGACTGCGCAATGTTTCAGCAGGTACAGTGACTACAGTGACCTCTGCAGTCAGCTCTATGGGAAAGACATCAGTAAACAAGGTTGCGCAATGCTTGTTCGTTAGTGTGATATGTAAGGGAAAAAGATAAGAGTAGCTGTTTCTTTGGTTCAGGTTATCCAGCCAACTCAAATCCTGCTTCATAAAATATCAAGCTGTAAAGACCTGAATTCTTTCTCCCTTTTGCTTATAGTGTGCTGTGAATATACATAAGCTGGTATAAGTGTGTTGATATGTATTCATGTTTGTGTCCGACTATAGCTGCTGCAGCCGGAAGTGATGCTGTACAGCCTCCCCCACTCGCCTATAAGAAGTGGGGCCTGCAGGATATGGACATAATTGTAGATCACAGCAGTGTGGGTGAGTAGGAGTGCATAAAACTCTGAAGAAAAAAAAACAAGCAGTTGTACACAAAAGTTTGAACACCTCGGTCAAATTACATTTTTTGTTGATTTTCTAAGTAAAAATAATTACAACCTTCACAGAGCTTAAATTTGGCTTTTTTCAGCAGATTTTTGTGCACAAATTTGATTTATTTACTAACATATTGGAAAAAATAAAACATAACGTGCCACACCTTTGCACAGACCACATTTTATGTTCAGCGAATAAGAATAATTAGGCAGTAAAATATGCAAAGGTTTGTTGAGTGTGGAGGATGTGAATTTACTTTCACTTAGAAAATCAACAAAATATCATTTAACTATAGGGTTTCAAACTTTTGGAACTGTATATTCAAACTTTTTAAAGTTTAGCTTTCAGCATACCCACATAAATATGATTAAAGGCTCGCAGGAAACTGTTTGAATAATCTGCTTGTAAAGGACTGTTTAAATATTAAACATTCTCAGATATAAATAGAGAAAGATGAATGATAGAGAGTGAAAGATTACATGAGTATACTGGTCTTTTATTCTCATTCCCTCCTTCTCTCTCTCTCTTTCTCTCTCCACTCACAGGCATCATGACGCTGAATGTGTTTGACCAGATGAAGAACGCCTCTATCCTCGGAGGCTTCCATGCCTCAGTGAAAGGCAGTCCTCCTGCCATGAGTCAGTATATAACTGTGGGAGGTGGACCGTTCACTGGTTTCTACTATGCTGTGGAGGTACAGCAGATTTGTTACTGTTGATCTTTTGTTTTCTGTCTTTTGTGTCACTCTTTGTGTCTGTAATTGTTAATGGTGTAGAACTTTGACGTAACAATGATTCACTTCGATTACAGTTCTTTATGAAACAATACATCATGAAATCTCAGTTTTTAATTTGATTCAGTTGTTTAAGTTATTTTATTTTTAACGAGCCGAATACCCGAATGCTACTTGAACTATTTTCTCTAGTGGTGGGGAAATGAGGGCCAGAGTCCTGCACAGTTTGGTGATTTTACTGCTCTAGCACACTAGCTAAACCTGGTAACTGATGAGTTGAATCAGGTGCGCTTAAGTAGATAAATCACCAAATTGTGCAGGAATTGGCCTTCCAGGACTCACGCCCCCATCCTGAATTATACAGAAGTGCAGTATAGACAATAAACCCAATTTATTCCATCAATTTGGATTTTTTATTAGAAAATGGAATAAAATTGTAGTGTGATGGCTGGCTTACCTCGAGTGGGGATCAAACTGGCGGTTCCCTTGTTTAGACACCAGAACGCTGTGGGGTAAGCCGCAAGACTCAACCTTGTGATGGCAGGGCGAGTGTGTTACCACTGAGCTACCACAACAGAGTCTCTTGGGAGGGTCGATAAACAAAAGGGAGGAGGTTAAGGCCAGACAAAAGATTAAATTAAAGAGTGTTTCCAAAAACTGAAGGGGAGCCCAGTCACCAAAAGTGCACTCAAAAATGTATTGTATTGTTGTTTTTTTTTATTTATTTATTGGAAGGATACTCAAAAACCGGTACTCAAGAGAGGACATTACAGGCTTAGTCATAGACGTGCACATTGCGGCATGAACTCAAGACTGAGCAGAAAACAGTTTGTGAGCACCCCTTAAGAAGGGTGCCCACAGCTGTTACCGCTCAGCCCTAATTACCCCTTAGTGGTGCCTTGTCTCCCCCTAGTGGCTGGAGGTGGCCTAGCACGAGGCAGAGACATTACAAAAACACAATAGAATTTTATAGTATTATTGTAATTGACTTTAACCAATCTTAACATTCAGTGGACTTGAAATGCTCCTTTTATATCTATCACAATGACCTCCCAGTGCATTAATGCCTTCTTACACCCCTAGGGACAGTATATGGTACTATTATGAATACTGTATTGTTTTCTGATTGAGGTCTGTTGTGATTTCTACTGTAATATTTTAATATTTCTGCTATGAGGCAGTATGAATCTGTCTACCTGCTGTGCTGTCCTGTGGTTGGAAGTTGTATATTTTATTGTAGAACAAAATGCTGTATGTGTATAAGATGACCGTTTTTCAAACTTTTGGAGAACCAAAAGAACCAAAAAATGGTTTTCAACCATTTCATTCAGTGATGTGGTGTGTCTTTTTCTCTCAGGGCAGTTCACAGCCTCTTCTCTCCCATGTGGCTCTCGCTGTGGCCAGCAAACTCACTTCGGCCCTGTTCAGTGCTGCCAGGTTTGTGTGTATAATGTGTGTTTTTGTGTGTGAATCTTCTTCAGGCTGTTTGACTTCACTGTAGCCTTTCGTTTCATTTCCCTCGAGGTCACTGTATCACTGCTGTACAGTACTGTACAATACCATAGCCTGGTCAAACACCTTTAGCCCTAACTTACTACCCTTCATCATCCTGCTGCCTCCCATCTTTCTGCACCTCAGTGCTCCCCTTATTTCAATTAAATAATTAATAGTATGCTGATCTCTCTCTCTCTCTCTCTCTCTCTCTCTCTCTCTCTCTCTCTCTCTCTCTCTCTCTGTTTCTGTCTCTCAGTGGATGGTTGGGATGGAAGAATAAGAATGAGGAGGAGCCAGCACAGAAACAGAAGCCTAAAGTGGAGCCGGCCACACCCCTTCCTGTTCGGTAGGTCTATCTATAAAAGGTTCCGTCTCTTCTCTGAGATTATTTATTATTATTACTATTAAAACATAAAGGACATTCAGTGGCTCGGAGCTGACACTCCATTTGTTCGAGAAACACTTGAGAAACAACACCAGCTTCGTAGGCAAAAAGTTAGTCGCGTGCATGATTTTTTATCTAACATGTAAGTATCGAACGGCCTTAATAACAGTTAAGGATAACACCAGTCTCTTGTTCCTGTCCACTCTAGCCTGCTGTTCCGCTAACTTTGTACTTCATGTATAAGCAAAACATAAGGAGAATTTGACTGACCACCAAAATCACCAGACCTCAATCCCAATTCTCAATCTAGAACAGCAGGTGAAATGCTGAAATGGGCACACACATGAACTCTGATGGAAATGTGCACCCAGTTCATGGAAGAGTGGGTTAAAAGAACAGGATCTATCTCAAGAGACTGGTGTGATCCTTCTCTGGCAGGGTTGGAGCTTTTATTGAGTATTAGAAAAGATGCAATGCATGTGACTAACTGAACATACTTAATAAAGTCCTGATGTTCCTTTCTTGTAGGTTTGGCCTGCCTGACTCCCGTCGTCACGGAGAGTCCATTTGTCTTTCACCATGCAACACCATGGCAGGCGTGACGGACGATTTCGGTAGAGTGATGCTGCTGGACGTGGCGCGTGGCATCGCCATCCGCATGTGGAAGGGTGAGAGAGATGGAGAAAAATGAATCTCTCACAAATAAGTGAGAAAGCTACAGAATACGGTCTTCATTAAGAAGATTCAAGTTTTGGTGATGTATGTATACAGAAACAGTTTGGGCTTTTTGGATGACTGTTGACTTCTAATGTTTGTTAGCAGTCTTAGCCTCGTTGCTCCAGCTCTGAACTTAAAAAAAAACAAAAAAAATTAAATTTGAACTGTAAACATGTCTTGGCTGATCGACTACTTATGGGGTTTGTGGAAAATGGAGTGAATTTATTTTTCCGCAGGATATGACGAAATATTTACCAACATATCAGTCCATACAGGATTGCTAAATCCTTAAAATTACTATAATTGTTTATTAAAATTACCAAACTTTTAGGAAGGGACTGAAATAACAGAGATGCATTACTACACCAACATGTGAAATGAATCCCGTCTGAATAGAACTGCTGGAGAAAAAGTACAATTTTCCCTGTGAGCTTATACATTTGTGTATATCCTCATGGTTATAGTTTTAAGTGTGTGTGTGTTTGTGTGTAGGGTACCGTGATGCCCAGCTGGGCTGGGTGCAGGTGTCTGAAGCTCGGGGCGAGAGAGAGATAGCCACTTCCCCCTCCATGCCTCGCCGGCATGCGCAGTTTCTTGTCATTTATGCACCCAGACGGGGCATCCTGGAGGTGTGGGGCACCCAGCACGGCCCCAGAGTCGGAGCCTTTACTGTGGGCAAACACTGCAGGTACATGCATTCCTTCACTGATTAAATTATATATTCTTTGTGCCCACTCTCCCACGCTGTTGTCCATTTATACATACTGAAGTACACCCAAGTTTGGATACTAGCTGTGCTGCGTCACTATTCACACACTCTTGTGTATATGTGCCAGCATGCAGAATACTCACAGTATGAGTCCACTTCCATGTTTTTTCAACACATTCTGCCATGCCGGGGCTCTTTGCCCACCACTGATGATCGTTTCTATGTCATTAGGAAATTAAGGAACTGTACTGAACGTATCTCGGGCAATAAACAATCTGATGTGCTGTTTACTGTTGCCCAGTACAGACTTTTTATGCTGTTATAATATTCAGAATTTATCAGTCGTCCACACAAATTAGAACAATCTCACGAGCAAGCTTAGCAAATAACCTATGAGCTCATATGATTAAAATTTTCCGTTTCCAATCCACATCCAGTCAAACGTCTTCCCTCCAAATGACATCATGAGTGTATAAAACCAGATATTTTCAGTATTGCATAAAGCTGTCGAAGTTATGTTTGCCGTTCTTGAGAGAGACCAGTGTGCTCTTGCCCGATTGGCTAAACGCAGTGTGGTAGCCACACTCGTTTGCATAAAGTTGAGATATGTTGAACTTTGTCACTGCGCACTGAGGAGGATTTCGTCATACCGTAACCCAGTGATGCAGCAAAGCTCTCCACTGAAATAAACAGGATGTGGCAAGGCAAAGTTGCAAATGGATGTCCATGATTATGTTCCCATTTCTCTCTCTATATCCATCTGTCCCTCTCTCATTTCTCTTTCCCTCTCTCTCCTCCCTCACTCAGGTTGCTGTATCCAGGTTACAGGTTAATGGGGGTGAACAGTGTAACCAGTCAAGGTTGGCACTTGCATACGCAGCAGGTGTGCCTGTTCGACCCAACAACTGGAGTGTTGCGTTCCATTACTATACCATTCCATCTAGCCCTCAGGTATACACACACACACACACATACACACACACACACACACACACTCACACACACACACACACACACACACACACACACACACACTGTTTCACTGTACTGTAGGGCTGGGGCCACTTTTCGACTCATTGTAATGATCAGTACTGAGTAATAGGTGGAATTTATCATTTTTTCCTTTTTTTTTATGCATGAACATCTGCACTCTGATCTGTGTCAACAGTGATCCGATTCAACTCGAAAGAGGCTTTATAAATGTACTGAATAAGTGACTAATAAACTAATAAACTTAAATAATAAAAATGTTTGTGGATAAATTTGTCCTGATTTTTTTTTTTTTTTTCCAAATGTGGTTATTGTTCCAGCTCTGCTGTATTAATAATAATAATGAGAAGAAGAAGAAGAAGAAGAACTTTATAAAGCACTTTTCATACATAAAGTGCAACTCAAAGTGCTTCACAACATGAAATAATAAAATAGTTAAACAATAAAAAAAAACCTATAGTAATAGAATTTGAACGTTAGTTGCATAACTAAGGAACAAGAATGAAAATGGGAAGTAAACCAACAGAATAAAATAGAGTAAAAAGTGTATCAAAATACTAATAAAAAGATAAGTAATAAAAATACATTTTTAAAAATGATTTATTTATTTGTTTGTTTATTTTTATTTTTGCCCAGTTGCTCCACAATTTAGTCATTGCTTAACACGCTTGAAGGAGAACACTAACTGTCCAGTATCCTGTCCAGAATCCACGTATACTTTTGCTCTGCTTTTATTTTTGAGGAGGGACTAGAATATTAAGCTGTTTTATTATTCATATACATCTTTTTTATATTTTTTTCAAAGAATGAATAAATTTCAAAAGCTCTTACTCTTTGAATATTTTGTTTCATTATGGACATTCTCAGTCAGTCTGTTATGTTAAATTGTTGACCAGTTAAAATCTAAGCCAGCACAGGTGTTCAGTTAGTAATATATGTACTTATTTACAAATATTTGCTTCTTTTTTTGGCTGCTCTCATAAATCTGAAATGATTTTAATGCCCATTCTGATGTGAATCTTCTCCGGGTTTGTTCCAGTGATAAGAAGAGCGAGCGAGCCAAAGACATGCACCTACTGAAGAGACTGACCGCTCTGCTGAGGAGCAGGGAGCTCGACCCAGGTGAGGATAAATGATGCAATGTAGAGTGATGCAGCTGCATTCAGAGAGGGCTAATGTTCAATGTAGGCCTGTTTCATTGCTTTATGCTCATTGTTCTGTGGTTGACAGCTCTTCTGGAAAGTGAGGCACAGAGTATTCTTCTGGAGATCAAACACCCAGCCATTAAAAAACAGGTCAGACACAAACGCATCACAATTTGTCTCTCAGACTGTTTTAAAAAAATTTGTATCTTTGGTTATTTTATATACAGTAGTATATATTTAATATTTCCATAATTTTGTGAATAAGAAGCTATTAAATGAACATATGCTTTTTTTTTTAATTGTATTTTTTTTTGTCATGTTATCTGCCTTGAGATTTGATCTCCTCTTTTGGAATGTGATTAAGTCTGGGCATCAGTGTTATTTTAACATAATTCTCAATGTTATACAGCTTTTCGCTCATTTTACGGCTCTGTTCTTCATTCTGGACGCATCTGACACTCCTATGTGTTTGTTCACAGCTTTCTAGTGTCCTATTTATTATTTGAAACTTGTGAAGGACACAAAACTAGCATATTTGAATCATTTTATACACTCAGTGTTTGTTTTGTGCATTACAGACCACTATTTTTTTCCTGGATTTTAATTGTTTTGGATGGGCTTCAGACATACAAGAAATATCAATGCTATATTATGATAAATACCACTTTTATTAGAGAAATAAAAGTATGTTTTCCATTATACGTCAGTTTTTATTTCCAAAAATTCATTATATCCAAAATTACAACTAGATATATAGATATCTAAAACTAGATATACAGCATTTGGAATAAACTCTTCATTTATTTGTAACCAGATTGACTTTACATTATTGAAAACATTGATTCCAGGCTTTTAAATGGGTGTGTATGTAACCAGCAGCTGTTCATGACAAAAAAATCTGCGTTCAAGCATTTGGTGTTTTTTTCCAACAGGCGCTGGAGTCTATGCTGACCAGTAAGAATGCTCCAGTCTCATGTATGACGAACGTTACTCGAGCTTTGTTGGCCAGCTTAAAAGAACAAGGTGAAGCATTTAGACATCATTTGTGATGTGACAGTGATTAAAGTGCTGTCATCAACTGTTGAATTTTGAAATATGTTTAAAGCTGCCTGTGTGTGTTGTTTGTGTGACTGTGTGTGTGTGTTTCAGACCCAGAGGCCATAGATGAATCGTTGCTGCAGCTGTGTTCCTCTCAGCTCAGACTACTGCAGCTCTACACAGATGTTCAGCTACTGCACACGCCTGATAGCTCACCCACTGAGACTGAGTCTGTGAGTAGTGCTCTCACACACACGTACAGAGCCCTGCTGATGACATCCCAAGTAAATAAAAATAATGTGTGGCCACGCCTTATTAACACATGGAAACGAGATCCTAATGTGTGGCAACGACTTAGTAAGCCACGGGAATGAGATAATTAAGTCGTAGCCGTTACTTAATAAGGCATAGGAACAAGATTATGCCATACTAAGCTGTGGCCACGCATTAGGATCTCATTCCCTTGCCTTACTAAGTTGTGGCCACACATTGGGATCTCATTCCCATGCCTTACTACGTCGTGGCCATGCATTATTTTTATCTATACAGGATGTCACCAGCAGGGCTCTGCACACACGCGTACTGTAGCACACACTGTAATACACACACACAGTTATGTGAAAAACTGAAGCTGACAATATACTTCAAACGAAAGCCATGTCTTTTTAGCCAAAACAAGATGGTGGTTTCAGTTCATAAAATCCAGGGTCCTAATCTCTGGGTCATTAGCTCTGTGACCTCCCCCCAACTATGACAGGTCGTAATCACGGCATCATTCATTTTAAGACTTCCCACTGACTGTAATTTGTCCAAGGCACAAAGTGTGTTTAAGTATATTTATGACTGCGTGTTCAGCAGTTTTTCAGTTTTATTTCATTTAGTTTTTCAGTTAGTTTTGTCATGTGAAGTATGCTGCTGGCTTTACGTTTACATTTACAGCGATTAGCAGATCCCCTCATCCAGAGCGACTTACAACAGTGCTTTGTTGTCTATCTAGAGAAAGTATCTTTGCTAGTACACATGGGTTGGAGAGAAAACCAGTCCTGAGCTCAGATACTGCTAGGAACAAAAGCCCATGTTGTACATTTCAGTAAGTACTTAGATTAGTGCTCACTTAAGTGCTGTATAAAGAGACGTGTCTTCAGTCTGCGTGTGAAGACCGCAAGAGACTCTGCTGTTCGGACAGCCAGTGGGAGTTCGTTCCACCACCTGGGTGCCAGTACAGAGAAAGTCTTGGTGCTTGTCTTCCACGCGTCTTGAAGGATGGCGGGTCAAGCCGAGCTGTGCTTGAAGCTTGAAGGGCACGAAGTACAGTTCGAGTTTTGACCATAGCCATTAGGAAAGGAGGGGCTGGTATGTTTTTGGCTTTGTTGGCGTCAGGGTTTTAAATCTGATGCGTGCAGCTACAGGAAACCGGCAGTGGAGTGACTTGAGTGAACTTAGGAAGCTTTAAAGGAACACTTCAGCAAAAAGTCAGACTTGGGCAGTTTCCCTCTTAATCCAGATCTAAAATCTAGACAATCCGTTTAGTGTCTGAAGCTGCTTTAGTTTTGCACTGGAGATACCAGGCTAATGTAGCTAAGATAGCTGTAGGCCTGCAGTTTGCACGATGTGGTGGGATATGACCATCCCTGTTATTGTTAACTACATTCGCCTTGTAACTCCAGTTCAAAACTAAAAAACATGTCTTGGCTGATCAACTACATTCAACTTCATTTGCCATTGTCTTTCTCTCCCTCAGCTCTCTGTGGCTGGTATTGAGGAAGATTTGGCTCGAGTTGGACCAATCCTGCGGCGCTACGCTGAGCTAAACTCCCGCCCCTCCGTTTCATTCGCTCAGGACCCAGGAGGGCCGCTGCCCGTCAGAGCATTTCTGTCCCAGTTGGTGTGTGAGGGAGGGGAGCTGCGTGTGGTCAGAGGACCCGACACAGACTGGACACACCTTGGTCAGAAAATACTTTCTTTTGATTTGCATATTGTTACATTCGTATTTAAATCGTTCATGTGCATTTTAATTATTATTATTTTTTTAAATTCTATTTAATTTTTACGGTTTAGGTCTTGGTTACCATGGTAACAGCCCCCTGTGGCGTTCCAAGCTTATTTACTGCTGGTTTAAAAACTTGTCTTTCATTTATCCATTTCATTTATGCAAACCATAGCAAGTCGCTAATATATTCACATATTAATGTAGCAAAATAAACTTAATAAAAAAAAAAATAGATATCGCTGCTGTCGGAATAAAACCTTGTATCTCATTTTTCCATTTGCTTGGAAAAAAGTCTGGTTCCATTGAAATACATTAGAAGTAGAGTATGTTTTTTCGTGTAAATTTACTGTTTTGGAGATACAAGTTTGTTCCCACAGCAGCTGTATGTACATGTATATGTATATGTGTATGTATCTCAAACTTAGTTTATAATGTTAATCCATTGGATTTAGTGAATTTTGTCCCATTTTATACATTTTCCACGTGTACCAGCATCAGCAGATATACACATGTAAAATAACGGCTGTTGGCATCAGCCTTGATTTGATTGATTGACTGAGTAATGTTTGATAAATTGAGTTATTACAGGAACTGGTGAAACTGACCCTGAAATGGAACGGGTGAACAACTACGTGGTTAGGGATCAGTAGCAGTCATTCTGGTGTTTGGGAATCTATTATAATGAATGTTTCTGGCACAGTAAACAGCTGATGGAAGTGTGTGTTTGTGTATGTTTCAGGTAGTTTTCTGTTCTGGGGCTGTCTTTCTGGCCAGAGTCCACTGGAGCGAGTGTGTGAGACGTTACAGCAGAGTGGCATCAGCCCTCAGCAACTACTGGTGAGAAGGAGGGAGAGTGAGAGGAGGGGAAGGAGGAAGGACACTAGAGAAAAAAGGAAAGAAGAATAAATTCCTGTTACTGACGGTGGTTTTGGCTAATATATTGAATGTCTGTTTCGCAGTCCCTGCTGTTGACTGTGTGGCTGAACAGAGAGAAGGAGATTTTGAAGAGAGCAGACGCCATCAGGAACTTACACACTCTCCTCAACACTCTCAGCTCTATGAAAGGTATGCAGGTTCTGCTGTGGGTACGCATTTGTTTGTTTTTATGTTTTTGATGGTTTTGCAGTGTTTCTCCTCACACGGTCTGTTCGTGCACACATATAGGACCAAAGCATGGGAGGTTTAACATTTACTTATTTGAGGTCTTCAAATAGTCTTCACCCTTGAAATTAGTGCCCCCCCTCCCAGGGTTGTTCCAGACCTGGGGTACAAACTGCTTTTAGAGAATTAATATGAAATTTTCTACATTCTCTGTCTACTTTCCTGCTTTCCTTCTCCTTGTTCTGTTTCTGCTCTTCCTATTCACTCACTTCTCTGTATGTGTGTGTGTGTGTGTGTGTGTGTGTGTGTGCGCACATGCTAGGCGCTCTGGGTGAGTCATGGGATGTGCAGTGTATCTCTCCCTGGTGGCAGCAGGTGCGTAATGCCTGTGTTCAGTCAGAGAGCGCTGGCGCCGCCCTGCTGGCTGGACTTGTCGCTCACCGCGCTGCCAAGAGCTCCATTACTAGCCTGGCTGAAAGCACGGTAGGTGTGTGTGTTTGTGTGTGTGTAGAACTGTCCATCTCTCTGTGTAGTTTAAGGCAGAATGTCATTTTCTTTCAGTAGTCCCAGGTGAGGATGGGACAGTTTCCGGTGTTAATGATATACTGCGGTATAAAAGACAGTAATAATAACTCCATTTCAAATCTTATTAATTCTAATAAACAGTGTATAACAGCCATCCTTTAAATAAGTCACTGCGGAATTCAGTAACCTACTGCTACAATCTCTGCAAAGCAGAGCCAGGGGCCATGCATCTTTACATAGCTATAATCTCAAAAACCATCGATCTTGGCAAATATTGATCAAACTAAAATGTGAAAAAAAGAACAAGTCTGTTCAGCAAATGTTTCCCAGACGGCTTTGTAAACTGAAACACAATGCTGACTCCTCCTCTACATCAATGCAGGAAAAGCATCACCAGTTGAAAACTCAATTATTGATTTTACTAATCGCTGTTGCACCAGAAACATTTGAAACATAATTGGGAAGCTGGGGGAAGAAGCCTGCTTAAGAACAGTGTCCATTTACTGTCAAGTACAACAACGAATATCTTCTAAAAGGGCAACAAGCCCCTCTAGGTGGGGAAAGAACCCCACGGGCATATCTGGCATCAGTTTATTTCACTTCATTTTAATAATGTATGACGAGAGGGAAGAGAAATGAAATGCAAATTTTGTCCGTTATGTAAATAGTTACTATTATTAGATTGATTACAGAATAATATTATGCAAATTAATTTACCAACACAATTATTATTATAATACTCCTCATATCTTTTTTTTGCATTAAATTAGTGTTTTCTGGCTGCAAAACTTCAGGCAAAATTCAAATAAAGGAGCACTTTAACGAATAACCAATAGGTTGTGTTAGTTTACATGCCAGTTAATGGTTAAAGTACTTTGGTCAAGAGGTGTTTCAGGGAACCCTCCCTAATTAGCAAACTTATTTATTCAAATCAGGTCAACAAAGTACTTAAGAGCATTACACAAAATCGGACACAATTAGTTTTGCGGCAAAACTATACACACCAGACACAATTCTTTTTGACATGTTCAGGCCATGGAAACAAATGGGCAGAATCAATTGAAAAGATATTCTTTTCTGAAAGAAAGTCTCAGTGCTCATCGTAATGCATAGATCTGATTGGCTGAGTAGCGTCACGTGATATTTACAACGCATGCGATTGGTCTGTGAGTCTCCCGGACCACTAAAGCTACCATAAAAGCTAGATGAGTTACCTGTTAGTATTTTACCTATTAGTGACCTCTGGCTTATGTCTTCGTAACTACACACTTGATAAAACGTGAAACAAACAGACTGAATGTCTTCAATTGCAAATAAGGTGCTCACATAATGTGGAAACAGTGACATTAAGCAGTCTTTCTGTTTTGGAAAACTGAATGTAAATTAGCACTTCACTAAAAGCTGGAACTTTTAGTGCTTCCGCTTTTAACTCGGATATTGTGTTAGCCCAGTTTGAGCTCCACTTGAGCAGGTTTTTGGAGATTCCAATCCTTTTGATGTTTGTCAAAAAGTTCCAATTGTTGGGATACAGCCAATCTGTCATCTTGGTTATCCACATGACTGTGATTGGTCAGTCAGTTCATGTCACCAGCGAAAGTTCACAAAAATCTAAGAGAGTGAGAATTAAATCATGTTTCATTTTCACAAATGATCATGTTTGGTGTGCAAGATTATTATTGGTTATACACATGCTTGGGTTAATTTGTCTTCTGAATAAATTGCACGGATAAATATGCTCGGAGTTTGAACCTCTTCAGCGTTCCAAAGCGTTTGGGAAACGCACCCATAAGCAGTAGACAGTAGTAGCGCTGGTCGTAAATTCAAATTTTTTAAATTGAACATTATTTCTTTGTGTTATAATGAAATGCGTGTGTGTTTTGGAGCTTTTTAAACATCTTTCTGTCTCTGTAGTTTCAGGCGGACTGGGAGTTTGTGTCACTGGAGCTGGAGCAGTGGGTGGTGTGTGTGAGGCAGCTGGAGGATGTGTTGGCGCTACAGACACTGTTGAGTCTGCCTCCGCCTCAGGGATCACCAGGGGGCGCTGTCCCACGCTGCTCAGTTAAATCACTGCTGGAGAGTGGCAGAGGTACTGCAGATGCTGTAGTAGCTCTCAGAGTAACAGACGCTTACAAACGCCACACCTTTCTCTCTCACTCATTCACTCTCTCCCTTTATCTCTCTCTATATCTCTCTCGCTCTCTTTCTCTCTCAGGAGGTGTAGCGGACAGTGTTGCAAAGCTGATCTTTAGGCAAGATGCTGCTCCTGAAATGTTGCAGGATATCGTGCAGCGGAGGGTGGGCGGGCAGAGCTCAGAAGAGCCTGTAGAACAGCTTTTGCAGGAGACAGAGGAGGAAAAAGATGGTGTTCAGAGGCTGGAGGGTAATTATGGAGTGACTTTGTTTTTCCTCAGTTGAATTCATCTGTACTGTCTTTTAAATGTTATTTTTATTTTTGTGCTTTTTCTTCTAATCTGAGTGTCTGTGTGTTTATTGCAGAGCTGCTGGCGTGTGTGTGTCAGCGTTTCCCCCACTCTCTGGCTCCTGATTTGTTGTGGGCTCACTGTTGCTGGGAGTATGTGGTACAGTGGAACAAAGACCCAGAGGCAAGTACACCTACAAAACTCTGTATTACAAAGAATGCAGATTAATAAAAAAGTTAACATTGCAAGCACATAACTTTCTATATGTTTGGGTAATGAGTATTTATCTAGCTACACTTCAAACAGTACATGAACGGATGCACCAACATTTTGGCCACTGAAGATTTTCAGCTGAAAATGGTCCAATGCATGTTTGGCTTTTTGGCCAAAAGAAACAAAAGGATGAAAAATTTGGATAAAAAAGCAAAAGATTTAATAGTTCCACAATAAAATGTCAAAATCCAACACAACGCAATCTCAGTAATAATAAAAATAAGAAACAATAATGAAAAACAGTGTTTTTGTTTGCTGTTTTGTCTGTTTCCTTCATTCCTGCATTCAAACTGTTAAAGCAGCAGCAGGTCAGCAGTGAAACACGCCAACACAATCCACTGCATCCTAAACAGTCTTTAGCTTACATGCTTTTTGGCATTAACTCATTTAATGAGTAACTTGATATTTTCTGGTAATAACCCTTTAACCTGTGGTTTTGGAAGTTGTTACTGTGAACACTGAGATTTATGGCAGCTTCTTCTCTCAATGTTGGACCCGCGTTGGCCTTTTCATCAGGAGATCATGAGTTCGATCCTTGGTGATGCTACAGCCACTCATGGCCAGGAGTCCAAGAGAGCTCAATTGGCCTCGCTCTCTCTGGGTGGGTAGGATGGCCCCTCCTTCTCCCCCCATCACTCAGCGCGATGCTAGTCAGCACAGTTAGCTAGCAACACTGTTAGCTGATGTAACAGATCTGGCGGTTGACGCTTTCCTCCGAGCGCGTTCAGCTGTCCAATGACTTATTAGTGGCTGTTTGAAAAGATGTGGTGGCTGGTTTCACAGGTCTCGGAGGAAGCCTGTGCTAGCCTTCACCCTCCTAGCGCTGGTGGGACCGTATGACTGGGGGAGTCCTGGGGGTAAAAAATGGTGTTTCGATCGTTGTGGTAGAGGCTCTCTGGAATTCGGTGCATATATATTTGCATAATTAGCACTATTATATTGATATAAGAAAATGGCAAACAATATATAAAGAACTCTTTCTTTCAGTTTTCAGTTTCACTCTTCAGTGTGAGCTGAACTGCATCAATGAGCGCATCCTTTATTTTTTTTTTTTGCTCTACCTTGACTGTGGTATTAATTACTCATTATTAATTGCAGAAAATACTGGAATTCCCTTTTAGTTCCCTTTAATATTCAGTCTTTGACAGTACCTTCAAATATATCTTTATAGTGATGATACAATAATAGTAGTTTCTGAAGAACTGAACAGCAAAATATTAAGGTGGTCTCAGTAGCCTTTTGAGAGAAATCTCTCTCTCTCTCTCTCTCTCTCTCTCTCTCTGTCTCTCTCTCACTCTCTCTGCTGCAGATTGGCCGATATTTGGAGTGGTCAGTGGAGTATCTGAAGATGATTTCTAGTCCTCATATTCAGTTAGGTAAGAGATTTTACTGAAAAGAACCCAGGAACCCAGTGTGTATCCTCTTTTCACCAGAGTTTAATACAGATTTCTTTCATTTTAAACCCTGTTCTTGTCTCTCTCTCCCTCAGGAATCTCCTCTATGATGTGGAACACATTTATTGTCAAACGCTTCTCCGCTGCTGCCTTCTTAATGGAAAAGGCTAGTGTGATTTATGAGTTGTTTAATGATCGATGTATATGTTTGTATTCATTAGAAAGGACAGTACCAGTCAAAGGTGTGGACACACCTACTCATAGAAGGGTTTATCCTCATTTTTACTGTTTTACATTTTGCAATAATAGACAATACACCTAATTATGTAATAATTATGTAATACTACGTAATGTGGAATTATACAGTTACCAAAAAAGAGCTAATAAACAAATTGCACTGCCATCTATTTTAAGTTTGTTTAGAAATTAGCCCTCACTTTACCGTGGTGCAGTTTTACATGCTCTTTGCGTTCTCAAGCAGCTTCATGGTAAGGAGCTGAGATGCTTTTCCAAAGGGACTGAAGAAAATACACTGATGTTGAAAACTATTTGTTGGGGGACATAAAAAACAATATACACTGCCTAGGCACCTAACCACATTATTTAAAACTATTGATATTAAATGGCCAAAAGTATGTTGGGTCCTAATTGGGTTCAGATGTTTCAGCCACATCTTTTGCTAACAAGATGTTTAAAATTAAGTACATAGTCTTGCAGTCTTCGTAGACAAACACTGGCAGTTGAACGGGTCGTACTGAAACTCAGTGACTTTAAGCGTGGTGCTGTCATGGCCACTGTGTAACTGTAAGTACTATTATTGTTAAATGGAAGCGTCTAGAAGCAACAGCAGCTCAGCCGCAAAGTGGTAGACCACACAAATGAGGCCACTGAGTGCTGCAGTGTGTAGCGCTAAAAACAGCTGTCCTCTGTTGCATCCCTTACTGCCTCTAGAAACATCTGTGCATATTAACATCACCCACACAAGTCAAAAAGAAGTTCTGGCTCAATGTTTAGGTCTCAAATGCAAAATCAACATTATACTGGTGAAGATAGGATGACAATGGTAGATCATTCACTTACAGCCTCAAAAGACGCGTTCTTTACCAAGTTTTCATTGAATACTCTTTCAGTGCACTTGCAAAAGTCAGATTCGTCTGCTCGGGGAAGGCGTCCAAAGCATGTTACAAAACTTGCTACCATGTTACCAAATTGCACGCGTGTTGCATGCAATTACAAGTTTCCCAAATCCCAAATCCAAATCCCCCAAATTTACGTAGTGAGGGTTTAAGATGATGATTATGCACGTTCACGTAGGTGTGTCCAAACATCTGATTGGTACTGTGTGTTGAGTGATACTGACTAATACTGACTTGTCTGTGGGGCTCGTAGGTGGGGAAGGCTCCAAAAGACAGACTTTGCAGACGGGTGAGTTTTCTGGACTATCAGTCAGAAAATAAATACCAGTGTAATGCTTAAAAAACTTAAATGTGTTCACGTTCACTATATATATACATATATATATATGTGTGTGTGTGTGTGTGTGTGTGTGTGTGTGTGTGTGCAGGACGTGGGAATGGGGGACGCAGCGATGACGAGTTTTCTGGGCTCGTGCGTGCAGCTGCTGCAGACTCTGATGGAGGTCTCGCCTTCCTCTTTTCTACCTCCTTATCCTCTTTTCTTCAAAGTAAGCAATGATCAGCATGAGAATGCACGTGCAGGACTATGCTCACATCTTACAGCAGGATCCAGAAATGTTTTTAAACCAGCACTACAATGTGTGAAATGGGTAATTGTAGAGAAACTTACAGAGTCTGATTTCTTTACAGTGGTGATGATAGGAACCAGGAGTCACGTTGTCTACAGCACATTTATAGTCATTTTATTTACCATCCAAAATGACCACTGAACCTACATGAGTTTTTATATGTAGTGCTGAAAATGGTAAAATAGTGATAAACCTGAAAAAAATAAGATTTTTGGCTACTATTTTGCCTTTGAATGTTCTGTATGTACCTCTCTGCCATGAATGGATATAAATAATAATAGATAAAATAGTAAAAATATAAATAAAATAGGCAAGAAAGTCCAAAATCTTATCTTACTATTGTCAAACAACCTCTCACGCCCCAGGCAGTGTATTCGTAACAGTTTTATGTAGTAATAATAACAATAATAACAACTTACCGTGAGGTAGATTTTACAAACATCAAACTCTTCAGACGTCTGGTTCCTTTTGCCACCACTGTGAATGATTTTGACTAGTATGTAATTTTCTCTAGAATGAAGCATTACACCTTAAATCACTCTGAATGTCTTAAATCTTAAGGATTTAACTGAGCAGAAATTTCGAAAATGTCACTTTAAAGACATTTTAAAAAATGGCACGGTTATTTAGCTTTTGCAGGCACTTCTACAAATATCTGTATTGCCTGTTTGCATTTTTTAGGGTTTAATGATAAGCAGTTTGCTGTTGTCGGTGTTGTATCTCCATTTTTAATGATTTTCAGTTTGTGCCATAATCTGAAAATGCCTGTTGTCCTTTACATTGTCTGTACATTTCGTAATGAATGGACCAAAAAAAACGGCCCAAAATGACTTGTAAAAAAAGTCTGGTTCCATTGACTAAAAAAACATACATTAAAAGTACAGTATGTTTTTTCCTTCTCCTGTAAAGTTACCATTTTGGAGATACAAGGTTTTGTTCTGACAGCAGGGAATTATTGGTATCTACATTGTTGTGCTGCTTCTATGCACGTGCATGGCTGATCACAAATTTCATACTGTCTTTTTTCCGTGAGTAATCTTACTGTCTTAATGGTGTAGTTTTAATTCCTAAATGTTCATTTGAACAAAATGTGGACAAAAACAGTAGTTCTTTCTCTCTCAGGCGGACTCGGGGGTGGAGGAGGTGTCTGTGCCGGAGCTGTGTGTGGAGGAGGTGTGGGGGAGTGCTGAGGGTCCGGCGTCTATAGCGGAATTGGCTCTGCAGCAGAAGGCGGTGCACTATCCGCTGGTGCAGCACCACTGCCTGCTGGCCTCCCTGCTGCACGCAGCCATGAGCTTCTCCCTGCGCCTCAAACCCCTCAGCCTCTTCGACAGCAAGGTCATTTTCAAAAATGTGGATCAAACTCACCAGAGTTCTGTGTTTTTAATGCTTTTTCATGATGTGCTTTCTTTCCCTTTAGTTTTGAGAGGATTTTAGTAGTTTTGTTTCTCAGCAACCAAAGAAGTTTTATCACTTTTAGGCACAATACATATTCACTGCAAAAAAAAAGGTTTTGTTAGTTACATTGCCAATTTTAATTTTAATGTAGTCTAACTAAAATGTAACTGAGTTAAAAAGGAGATTATTTTGATCACACATGTACCATCATGAATTTACTTAGGACAAAACAAATCTATCAAAATATGTAAATGTATTTAGTTACTTCCTATTTCTGCATTCTTAAATACTATTTTAAAGGTTTTATTTTTTCATCTGCTCCTAAGGAAAGACGAATCACCTGAACAGTTGTCTTAATATAGGATGAACGTGCCGTTTCTGTTGCTTTTTGCCAATCAATTTGTGTTCTGAAAGAAAGCTGGTCATCAGTCCAAACACACAAACACTTCTAAAACAGGACTCAACAGCTGCACCTCTCAAGAAGCATCGGACTAGTCAGTACCCTTTGAGTAATTTCAGTGAGACGTGTTGTAATGTGCGCTCTATCACCCCCTGCAGGGGAAGAACGCCTTTTTCAGGGACCTGACGTCCATCCAGCTCCTGCCCAGCGGAGACGCAGACCCCAACCTGGTGGCCATCAGACAGGAGGTCAGACTCATTTCTCATTCTCTGTTCGTTAAAAACAAGCACTATTGGCATTATCTCTGAAACATCACTGCTGCTGTACTGTTTAACCTACCTGTTTCTGAATGCTTGACTGCAGCCCACATTTTGCTACTTTCTTCTGTAAATTTGAAAGCTATAGTGTAGTGGAAAACCTAACATACTGTTGTACTGTTATCTTTACATTCTGAAATGAGTGTAAAGATGGTCAAAGGTTTTCTTGGAGCCTAAATTGTGTCCAATTTTATAGAAAACAGTATGTCATACAGTCATAAACCACATATGCAAGTCTATTTGAGATTACATAAGCAGTCTGATGCCAGTATGTGATGATTTCCATAGCACTGTGCACTGTGCTAGGTGGGGTACTTTAAGCTTCCATTACTTGTTAGTTCCAGTCGTAGGCAAAAGTTTGAACCCCCTGGGCACATTCCATGTTTTATGGATTTTCTGAGTAAGAAAAAACAAAAAAACTTAACATCCTCTACAGGGAACAAACCCAAATATAACATTTTCCTGCTGATTTTAATGCACAATTATACTGCCACTTTTTATGGGGGGTAATTTGACCAGGGGCATCCAAACTTGTGCATACAACTGTAATAAATAAGCAAAGTTTGGACTTAACATGACAAACACGTCTTGGCTGAAAAGGGGAAAATTGTGTAGATTTGATGTTTGGCCCAACATTTGCTTTAAAGAATAGTTGTGAATTATTTTTTCTTCTCTCTGTCTGTGCAGTTTTTGATGCAGGTGTTGACAGGCTGGGTGAAAGCTGTTGGTGAAGCGGAGGACAGCGGCTCTGCTAAAACAGGCAGGGAAGTGGACTGGCCAGCAGTGTGCATGGAGCTGGCCTCTCTGCTGCAGGTCAGTGTGGATATACTACGCAGATACCTCGTCTGGGAACTCTACAACCAGGGCCTGGACCTGCGCGCAGAGGAGGTGAGGAAACAGAAAAGTGTGGATGCAGCTAAAAAAGCTAAAAGAATAATTCCTTACTCCTTAAACATTTTAAACATGTTGCAATACTAATGAGGGCTTCCAAACTATGAAGTAACTGTTAAATAGGGTTAATTAGACCCTAATTAACAAACACTAAAATAATTTGCTCTTAATGAGTCTCACATAGTAATTATTACTACAAACTTATTTGCCTTATAATCACTTATTGCCGGCATTTATTGTCTTTAAAGGGGACCTATGATGCTTTTCTGGTTTTTCCTTTTCTTTTAGTGTGTTATTGTGTTATGCATGCAAATAATGCCCAAAGTGCCCACCAGAGGGAGTAACTCTCTCCCACGCAAACCACTTTTCCTTGGAATTCCAGCCCTTTTTCTTTGTTACAAGATGATGCAATCTCATAACACAGTCTTTCCTGCCCGCCTACCAGCAAGCTTGGCTCACACGGCGCACAGCAGCTACTGGAGGCCAGGAAGAGTGTGTTCAGTTTTGTAGCCACGTTCAGAAGACGCTGGCCTGACTTTCAGAATCAGACTCTGGCTCAAACTAATATTTTCACTATTAGAAAAACAGCCACACCGGCGTTCACAACTGCGCAGGAGAGAAGGGTCTGTCTGTAGACTGCAAGACAGGGGCAGAACGTGCAGGGCTGAAACCTAGCTCTAGCAAATGACCAATCAGAACAGAGTGGGGGAGCTGACCAATCAGAGCACACCGGGCTCATCGGGAGGCGGGGCTTAAAGACACAGGAGAGTGTTTTAGACAGAGGGTGAATAGAGTTGTACAGTATGAGAAAAATAATGTTTTTGGAACATTCAAGCTTGTAAATCTGCTTTAGTGGACCCCAAAAATAAAACCATGACCACTGAAATTAGTATAATAGGTCTAGTACAGACTTTTGACTGTAACTGTGTACACAGTACAGGTGCTTAACTCTGAAGGTCCAGAACCTGAAACTTACACTACACCTATGCAAATAATAATATAATGCACGTCTTGTTCCTGAACTGCACTGGTATTTAGAGTACTCACATATTCGGCCGAGCTCTTTGTACGACACCAAAATTCAAAGGCTTTTAGTTGCCTTGAGAAGAAAATATGTATTAATTTTGACAGGTACTTCTTTCTCTTCGTCTCTCTCTCTCTCTCTTTTAGGTGATGTTGGAGGTGGAGGATAAAGATGTGTTGGGCTCTCAGCTCCTGGTGCTGACCGGTCAGAGACTGGCCTTCTCTCTGCTGCACTCACAAACCCAGACCAAAGCCACCATGGAGCTCCTTGCACGACTGCCCCCCACCCTGTGCACTTGGCTCAAAGCAATGGTGAGTCCACGTACATCCAAACCAAGGGCATAAATATCTGATCACACTGATGAAGCTTATTTTATCCAAGTATTATAGTTATGGCTATAATAATAATTTTTATGATCGCATTTGGGAAAAAATAAAATGCGATCAATTTTATTAATCATTTCACAGCCTTATTCAAAACACAACGTGGAGAAAAAAGTCTCACACCTTATCTTTGTTCTCCACACACACTGTTTGTGTTCCTGCAGGACCCGAGCGAACTGCGGTGTCCCTCGGTGCCGCTGCAGCAGAGCAGCCGGCTGGTGAGCAGAGTCATCGAGATGCTGCCGGAGAATCACGCCCAGTACAGCATCGCACTGCACCTGCTGGAGGCTGTGGACTCACTACAGGAGGACGAGTGATAGAGAGAGAGAGATGGAGATAGTGAGAGTAGCAAGAGGTAGAGAGAGAGGGATCATAGAGATGAGAAAGAAACAATGAAACGGACTGAAAAAGAGTGAAAGCCTTGGATTTTGATCACAAAAAGAGTCCAGACACTTTCTAAGCACAGGTTTATGGAGTCTGGCTTATTTTCAGGAGTCACCTTTTGATCGGCTTGATCTTCTTGAGGCCTCTCAAAGCAGTCGGCTTGAGTCAATCAAATGAATGAAGTAGTTGAGCAAAAAATCTAATTTACACACTTTTCCCCCCAACTTGGTCCGTCAGGAGATGCACGTTTGGTGTCTGAAGTTTGCATTTATAGTTTTGCACTGGAGCTACGAGGCTAATGTAGCTAGCAAGGATTGCTTATAGCCCACCAGTTAGCATAATGCAAACTGAATGCCAAAACAAAACTGCACATTAGGCTACGTTCACATTACAAGCCTCATTGCTTAAATCCGATTTTTTGCTCAAATCCGATCTCTCTGACAGGATGGTTCACACTCGTTTAGGTAAGTGACTCAAATCTGTCATTAATGTGAACCGGCTGTCCTGAAATGACCCTCATGAGCTCATCCTACTCAGTAACATCACGTGAATGAATCACGTTCATTATCAGCACAAACTAACGAGCAGAACGAGCTTCACTGAGAAGATCATTAACTCTGATCAGCTCTCAGCTTCATTATTAGAGCGAGACGAAGGAGAAAAAGGTGAGATGAGCTGCTTTTCCACCGTTTACAGGCTTTAACTTCTGTTCCGCGCTGCTGCCATGGTAACGCTGAATGATGGCACACGCGCAGTGGAGAAAAAGTACATGAATTCCGATCTGAGCGTCACATTAAGGTCGCATGGCCACGAATCAGATACGTATCCGATCTAGGACCACATATGAAAGTGGCTCAGGTCAGATTTGAAAAGATCAGATTTGCGTGTCCACACAGCTCTGAAAACATCAGATCTGAGTCACATTAGGGCAAAAAATCAGATTTGTGCCACTTCAACCTGGTAATGTGAACGTAGCCTTAGTTTCACATGCAAAACTAAAGAAGCAAACTTGGCTTGGCTGATCTGATGCATCCGGGGGGGCGGAAAGTGTGTAAATTTCAATTTTCACTTGAAGCTTTAGCCACAGCTGGCCCATTTACTGAGGCTGCACCCACTTAGCGCTGTAACACAAGTACTTACATACTAGTTTCTGTAAAGTCTGCTAAAGCAACAAGTCTTGGGTCTAAATCCAGGAGAGCTGGCTGGTGAAGGTGGTTAAAGAAAGAAGAGAATGAATGAAAGAATAGAAGATCAGTGTTCGCAGTTCTATGCATCTAATCATGGTCAGCAAATCAAGGGGCATTTTTAAAACAAGGCCTTACTGAGTCGTGCCCAATGCTGCTACTGTAATATGCAGTACTTTATCATATATGATATTAGTTGATTATATTACTGGACAGAGTAAAGTGGGTCAGTCAGCCTTTAGTCCATTCATGTAGCTCTTCATTTGTTTGTTATTTCAGCGATTGAGAAACTAGGACAAAACTATTTGTCAGTGGATGGCTGTTCATGTAATGTATGCATTTTGGCCATTTTCTTTCTACGTCTTTTCAACGTTAGCTTTGTATTCGCTGGATCTCCCTGGGCCTCATGAACTTTTGAGAGTGAACTCGCAGGTGCCATTAGACACTAACACCAGTTCCCGTCCTTCTTGTCTTTGTTTCTTTTTCCTTTCCTGTACTCCAAATTAGAGGAATGGAGTCATAAATGTATTGAAAGGTCTATTTAAAGTGTGTCTGGGGCAGAAAAGAGGCTCTTTAGTGAACACAATTCTGCACAGGTGCTGCTGTTTCTTACTGTAAAGACGCAAAAAAAGAGCTACATGCAAGTTTAAACAAAAAGGGCCTTGGCTTTTCATTCGCCGTTAACACGGATAGGTATATTGAAAAGGGGACTTGGATGAATTACGTGGAGACGTTGAATTATTTCATGTTTTTAGCTGTTTTATTAAGATCTTATCAACGATATTTTGAATGTAAACTTAACGGAGGGCAGTTCAGGGTGATCTCGCTATTAAAAGAACAGCGTCCACTTGAGGTTCATGGGGCCAGACATGATCTCGTAACGAGAACGTCAGGGAACAACCATGAGAAATTTGGTGTTAAAGACTTTTTAGGGTGAGAACAAACTATTAATTTTCTAAACCAATCCAAAGCTTTGTGAAGGCGGAGCTCAGAGAAGGGGTTGATGATGCTGCATTCGTCAGCAGTGCCTGATGGACAAGCCTGTGGATAAGTTAGTATGGATAAGAAGTCCCCCAAAGCCTTTAATTAAGCATGTAGATGTTACACTTGGTAAAAAAATCAACATTATCCTCTTGCAAATGGAAAAAAAAACCTTCCATTCACTGATGACAGCATTTCTCTAGCTTGCCTGTTTGGGTAATGCTATTGATTTTTCTAGTGAGGAGAACTGACACTCAATAAAGACTTCCAGGTTGGGCAGTCACTAGAGGGCGCTCCTGAGCAAGTCCAAAATGAATGTGTCCTTTTGGAGCTTTTGTGCAGAATCGTAGTTTAGATAACATAGAATAAAATATTTCAACCTTTGTCATATTTTTGAACTTTTGAACTCATTCTAGGACTTCCAGTAACAGTCTAGGACTAACAGTAACAGTCATGATATTGTGAACTGATTTACTCGGCCAGTAAGCGGAGCAGCTCACCAATTAATCAGCACTCAGTAGCAGTACTAGTCCTGCAGCCCAAAACCTCTTAGCGGTATTTCTGTTTTTCTACAGCAAAGTTATATTAGATTTACGGAATACATCCTTCTACTTTCCACATTTAAAGGAACTTCCCTCATAAATGAATAGAAACACTTAACATTTCGTTTTTAGCCATTAAACTCCATTCACTCCCATTCACTGAGGAAGCACTCATGGGCGCCCTCTAGTGTTTTGCAGTCCTGTTTTGCAGTGAGAGAGAAATAGGAAGTGACCGGGGTTCCCATAAATTGGCTCTGATTCCACTCCGGACCTTAAAAGAGCACAAACTACAGGAATTTGGGGGCAGGTTTTAAAGTCAACATAACTGGCAAAACACAGCACCCAAAGTATAACAGCTTGTCCCCAGACTTGTCTTCTCGTTACAAGATCACAGGAGACTTTGCCCACTCGAGATAATCCCATAACTGCAGCTGTTTCTTGCACATGACCCAAATGATACGTTGGAAATTTGACATCCTTCATGTGTGCCTTTTATTGAATCTGGTTTGCGTATAAGGAAGAGCAGACAAACACAGCATTTTCTCATTAACAGCTTCACTCAATAATCACTTTTTCTTTCTGAGAGTCGCGCAGGAGGCCGTCGCCCATGGCTTTAGAAATAACGTCAATAAAATAAACTATAAAACTCAGGTGGCAGTAACGTCCCCTTTATTCTGCATCCTAACATCTGTCTCTCTCACACAGGCTCTCATACACACCCACAACCCTGCACACATGCACAACCATGGACAGACACACATGTACATTCTGTCAAACTGGACTGGTCAGTTGCTTTTTCAGCTGACTTCACTTTTGGGCCACTTGAGTCAGAACAGTGCCTTTGTTTATGGTACCTCCTAAATAAATACTCCCAAACTCAGTTCTCTGTCCCCACATAGCAGCGGAGACCATTTCAGTTGTGGGTGCGTTTGAGTAATGCTGGATTTTGTGCAGATGTTATCTTTAAATATAATTTCTTTAAAGGGCCCATAGCCTACATATTGTCCACTTATGTTTGTGGTTTTATGTACCAAAAACAATTTTTACATGACCATTTTCCAACATTTCATTACCCCTTAGATTTGTGACTGTTCCCTTAAGACTAGCCATGTTTACATGCAGCCTGATAATCCGTTAATAATCCGACTAATAGCTCAGTTGGAATAGAATACGTCTATATATACACACTTCAGTCTGAATAGTCTAGTCCGATTGAGGCCATTCGGAATATAATTTCTATCCGACTGATCGAGGTGGGTAATCCTATAAATAATCCGTTAAATAGAAGAATAATATCCGTGTAAACGCCTGTATCTGATTACATTCCCAATCGGAAAGTTTAAGTCCGTTCTGATCATTTTCGTCACGTCATAGTGAAACTGTATACCGTTCAACATGGCGGAGCAGAAACTGGTCTGCAGAGGAGACGAAGTTTATGCTCTGATCTTTAAAAGACGGCGGTGGGACGGACGTCCAGCTTATGAGTCTCAGAACACGACGTCTTCCTCTCGGCCTTCTTTAATAAGGACGTGAAGGACGTTTTCCTGAGTCTGTCATCATTTTAAAGCAAGTAAAAACAAGCACTGCTCACTGCTGCTCATCTCACTCTGACTGGCCTCTCGTGATGTTCACTGTCATGGTAACGTCTACTCTAAGCGGTTCTCCACGCATGCGCAATATTTCAGACCGGATTCCTTGTAGTGAGCATATAAACAAAGAATTTCATCAGATTGTTGAGTAGAGTGAGAATAAACACCTCAGTCTTAATCTGTAATCGGAATGTCTTCAATCAAATCTTTGCATGTAAACACAGCCACTGACGGATGCAAATTACTTATGTTCTGATTGGCTATTGCACATCATTTAAGGGGAAGGCTGGGCTGACACACTATAACTTGAGTGTGAATGGGCGGGGCTAAACTGCTGTAGGCTGTATTAGCAGATAAATGTAAAGGCACTGGGTTTAGTGACAACAAGCTAAAAACAAAAAGCTTATTTTCCATAAACAAACTCTATGAACTGTTGAGTGAGCAGTATGTTTTTTAAGTGATCTTAATGTTTACCTACAGCAAACCCAAAAAGAGTAAAGAGCAAAATATACTTTTCCATGCTATGGGCCCTTTAAAATGCATTCATTTGCATATTACAAAGCATCTTTTAATATCTGGGCAGTGTGGTTTACTTGTGCAAGCACTATATAATTAGACTAAATACTAAATACAAATAAACATTAATACATTAAAAAGCATCAAGAATTTGTATCATTAGTTACTGTCTCTGTGAGAGACTTGGGAATGGTTAAGGTAACATACCAATAGAAATCAAATCAAATCACTTCATTAGTGTTCATTTGTATTTAGTCTAATAGTGTTTTTCCAAGAAAATAAAGGCTCACTGCCCAAACAAACAGCCTCGGATATAATTTTCTCAGGTGTCCTGAGTCTTATATAGTACAGTGTGCAGCATTCCTAACAGCATGGACACAAATCCAGCATTACTCAAACACTCGCCCGTGTCCTCATCCAGCTCCACATCAGGAACAGTCCATAAGGAGAGTTCCACAGTCCTCATTGGTCCACGGAAGTCCTCGCTTTCCACAGATTGCCACAGCCGAAGCAGGCGAAGCAGTCGCTGTGCGGTTGTCATGGCGACGTGAGGCATTTACTGGGTGTGTCCAAGGACAGTTTGGCATCGTGGACAAAGGCATTCGGGGGTGTCTGATGTGTAGCGGCGACACCGAGGACAGCGGGAGAGAGAGATGGGGACTGCTGCTATAGTGTATGCACTGTCCTCACGGATAACGCCACCTACAGGATAAACAGAGGAAGGGCATCAGACATATGTTAATGGTGGCAAATCAGTTTTAAGTTAGGCACATTTCCTGATTTCCTTTTTATTTGTTTTGATAGTATTTAGTATCTGACCCTCCAGGTTGATGAGGAAGCTCCCGCTGTTGGTGATGGTGTCAGACGGTAAGTCCCTGGGCAGCTCGCTGGTCAGCGTGGTGCGAGACGCCATCATCAGCTCCGTCAGCTGAGACGAGGTAGAGGTGGGCTCCTCCTGCAGAGACTGATAGACGGAGGGGTAAAGAGGAGGGGGGGATGAACGTTTTGAATTTAAACCTATACAGTCATAGTTTAGGCGCCTGTGATGTTTTATTGATTTTCTAAGTGAAAATCAGTTTTCTACACATTTTGTTCTGCACATTTTAATGCACAATTACGGTTTATTTGCAGAATTTAACATATTTGGAAAAACACATATTCTAAACTTTTACACATATTCTGTATAAAAATAGAAATAAATAGACATTGTGCACAAAAATTAGCAGTAAAATGCCACATAAGTTAGTTCTTTGTACTTGTGTTCACTTAGAAAAGAACATGTAATGGGCACAAATGTGTGCGTATGACTGTAGCTACAGTGTCAAATTTACGCAGTAGGACCTCTGAAATACTTTACTCTAGAAAGACCAGTTGTGATAAGAAATGTTACATGAATGAACAAAAATAGTTTTTGCCTCTCAGGAAATTTGTCTTGTATATTCACCAGTTACTCTCATGAGTTTCAATTCAAGTCTCAATTATTGTGTTTTAGCAACAGATGTTTTCACAAAGCAGCTTTACAGAAGCACATGACTAATTTATCATATCTCTCAGCGCTTCTGTGAATATCACCCACACAAAGTACAGAAATACTAATAAACGTGAAGCAGGCGGTTATTCAAAGTGCTAAATGCCTACAGGCCCCAGGTAGTTTTCTTTCATATACATGTAGCTGTAATAAATTACACAAAATAATAGACCAATGATAGACGTCTTTTAGTGTTACCTCCATGAGCTCGAAGAGAAGGCCGGGTTCGATGGCGATGGTGAGATCATATTCCACTGCGTTGCGTCCGGGGATTGAGGACAGGAAAGAGTCTCTGATAGCACACGCCCCCTCAACTGCCTCCTCCAATCCTGGCTTCCGCCACACCGAACTGCTTTTAATCCAACCGCTCTGGAACAGAGTCTCACCTTCTACATAGTGAGAGAGACACAGAGAGAAAGCAGAGTAGAATTCAGAGAAGTATGTAAGATATGTACACGCAAAAAAATTATATTGAGTGCTTTATCTGTGATTCACAGCCAAGTTATTTTTTAAAGGGGAATTCCACCAATTTCTCAAAATTTCTACATAAATAAGTGGTTAAGTTATAGTCATTCAGAGTAGTTTGATGTGAAAAGCTTGTTCTATAGAAACTTACAGAGTCAGAATTGTTTACAGTGCTGGTGATAGGAACCAGACCTCTGAAGAGTTTAATGCTTTAATGTTCAGACCTAAAACATCCTGTTAATCCATTTATTTTAGTTCACCGATGGTGGAGGGGTACACGCAGTGCGATGTGAGGCAATATAGTCCCCAAAGAAAAAAATCTTTTCAGATTTACCACAATTTCACCAACACTTTTACAAAGAAAAGCTCAGATGATGCGTAGGCTCACTGGTGGTTTTGGATAGTAAATAAAATTATATTTGTGTTGTTGACATTGTGACTCCAGGTTCCCATCACCACCACTGTAAGGAAATCTGAGTCTGTAAGTTTCTCTACAATAAACCATTTCACATCAAACCTCTCTGAATGACTGTTTACATAGCAACGATGGAGTTATGCACAAATTTTAAAAAATCAGTGGAATTCCACTTCAGAAATGCCATTTTCCTCCTAATTTTATTGCACAATTTCTGTTTATTTGCTGAGCTTAACATACAGGGGGGAAATGTGCTTTTTTAAATTCCTGTGCTTTTACTAAATTTAAACTCTGCAAACATAGAAACTGTGTTCTGCAGTTCGCAGAAGAATGCCGGTAGAGAAAAAGCTACCTCATATTCTCTGAGGAAATCAACAAAACATGTTACTTGACCAGGAGTGTTCATACTTTTGCTTACAACTAAACATACACACTCACTAAGACTTACTAAAAGCCACTACCTGTGGATCCCCCTTGCTGGTGTCCCTTTAGAGACTGTAGCCCATATCTTGATGCACAATTTATGCTAAGAATGGTCCTCTATCCAAATAAGTTAACAGTGGTCCTGTGGTCAGAAACTGACCAGTGATTCATCACTGTGGTAGAGGATAGGTGACAAATTGTGCAGCTACCGACAGGCTACAGTCTGTAGGGACCTGTGAGGTAGCTGGAGCTCCTGTAATAACAATTGAGTGCATATCGCCGCTGTCCAATGAAAAACGTATCTCCATTTTTTGCGGTTTTTATTTTTTTGCGTCATTTGAGCTCAGCAGCTGTGCTTTACACTGTGTGAAAATTTCATGATGATTGGACCAATAAAAATGCTCCAAAATTGCTTAGAACAAAAACTCTTTCCATTAACGTTCACTGAAGGCAAAGGAGACTTTTGCCCTCTCCTGTAAAGTTACTATTTTGGAGATACATGTTTTTCTTTGGACAGCGACGATGTACAGCAGTGATTTCTGATGAGTGTATGTCTGCGTATATACCATCATGCCCAGGTGCATGCTGGTACACCTCTTCGGCCAGGTGAGGCAGGATGGGTGCGATGGACCGTGTCACACCGTCCAAAATCTCCTCTAGAGCCGTCTGACATGACCTCCTTCCCACAGAGTTCTCTGCATCACAATACAGCCTGACAGAGAGGAACAAAACTGGAGTCAATGCAGCTCTGCGCTGTGGTCTTAGAAACCTAACAGTGCCCCATGCCAAAACAAAGTGATTATGGACGACTGGTCAAACTGACCAAAACTGGCCTGGGGGAAGCCATCGACAAATCTACAAATTACAGAGATTTGGTAGGGCGCCTTTATGCCTAGATTAATTGGGCTGGGTTGTGATTGTCTAGTGTGATGTGTGAGGAGCTGCTCACCTGTCTTTGATGATGCTGAAGTAAAAGTTGGACAGGTCTCTGGTGATGAAGGCCTGGAGAAGGCGGATCGCTCGACCACAGTCAAACTCACTGTAGGCATCGGCCACCTAACACACAAACACACTTATGTTGGACTAGTTATCGTGCAATATTATCTTTTCTCTTTATCTGTCCTTGTCAATGCAGAAAATAGCCATACAACCCAGGAATATCTTGCTATAATTGTAAACCGAAGCTAACCTTGATGCTGTATTCTCTGAGCAGGTGCAGCAGGTACTGGTCGATGTAGTGCATGTCTTTGGAATCCACAGCTTGAGTGCGAGGGTCAAAACCCTGCAGGTTTCCCAGCAAGAACTTCAGAGTGTTCCTCAGCTAAGGAGACGGGAAGCTTATGAGAAACTATTTTCCAACAATACTCTAAACAGTACTTCGAAAAAAGAAAATCAGGCTGATTATGACAGGTTTCTGAATATACATGGGGTCATATAAGAAGTGTATGAAAGAGCTGCACGCAGTCTTTTTGAGCAGGTAACACTGGTACTATAAAAGTGTTGCACTTTAATGTTCATTTTGTGAAATGAGAACTCATTTTCTCCACAATAATACGGATTCCTCACAAGGGGGCGCTGTTGGCACTCGTAGCATTTTTTTGTATCTGTGAGTGAAGCAAGGAAACCCACACTGTCTGGATCTGTTGGAGAACCGATGGAGAATCTCCATTCAAAATGCGGCGCAGTCCAAAGAAACCGGCCTGTTATGTTTGATAAGTCAGTACGAGACCATTTCACAGACACTCCTGAACCACTGCATTAGAGTTTTCACTGCTTGGACGTCTTATTTATCTCATTAAGCGTTTGCTAAGTAGCCGTTAAGGTAAATCCACTGTGTTGGGACATGTTAGGATATGGTTATGGGTGTATAGTCCAGCTCTAAGCCTGTCCCTGCTGTTGTGGGTGTCAGACCTTGTTAATGCTCTCTCTGGCTGAGTTCAGTGCTTTAGGGCCAATCTGGACTTCGGAGAACACGTTGGACTCTGCGACCCACCACCTCAACACGTCTGCACCATAAGCAGGAGATGCTGCTAGATCCTGAGAGAGAGAGAGAGAGAGAGAGAGAGAGAGAGAGAGAGAGAGAGAGAGAAATAGGACTCAGAGTAAATGATGGATGTTAGGGTGGAACTGCTTAACATCATAATAATTTGATTCAATTGCGATTCGTTAGGAAACAATTCAACACATCAGGGAATCTCAAATTTCACCAGGTTTCAGGTCAATTTGATCATTTTTACAATTTAAAAGTATTTTTAAGAATACATTTAGTACAAAAGTGTGTCTGGAGGAACTATTTAGACAATAAAAACACTTTTGAACAAAGCAATTCGTTTTTTGTTTTTGGAGTTTTCACGTTTAAGAATAGCACATAGTATCACAAAATCCATAAAATGAGACCAACTTTAATGAATATTAATATAATATATTAGAACCGATAACATTCCAACACTGATGCAGCTGAATTGCCACCTTCAGATCAATGCACTTGACAGGGCTAATAGCCAGAGTGATGACACTGTATACTGAGGTGTGGTGGGTCGATGGACTGAAGATTTGGCTGGATAGATGATTGAACTGTTGGATGAATACATGGACTGAAGGGTAAATGGATGGATAAACACACAGATTGAAATATTTGGATTGCGGGATGTATGAATAGATCGACAGCTATATCAGATGAAGGGTGAATTAAAGGATGAATAACTTGCTGGACTGATGGACAGTCAGATGGACTGATGGATGGACATAGAGATTGAAGAATGGATGGATGATGGATTGACAAGACCGATAAACTGCTGCACATATATTTGAATGCAGTCTGAATGACAGATTGACGGATGAACTGAATGAGTGTGGGATGGATGATTTTAGGCTCAGCGATATACCGTTCCTCCGTTGATGACGATGTCAGGGTCCACCACGTTTCCCAGTGACTTGGACATCTTCTCTCCTTTCTCACTGACCGCAAAGCCGTGGACCACCAGTGCCCTGATGAACACACGCAAGAGGTGAGTGAGCAAGCGGGTGTGTCGTTATAGGATTTCTATGATGGGGACACAGGTATAATATTTTATCTCCTGCTGACCGATACGATGTCCTACAGTGAGCTCTACAATGAATGATATTTACACTATGAAAAGTGAGCTTAAAGAACACCCGCCCAAATGTTTTACTCAGGATTTAGTTCATGTAAGAACCTTCAATATCTGAAATGGTAACCGGTCTGGTCTGGTGGTCCTCGGGCCAGTACTGAGTAGGGGGGGGGGCCAGTGATCATTAGTGGGCTAATATCATAAAAATCAGTGGAGAAATAACCGACTTAATAATAAAAAAGAAATGTAAAGAGTTTTCATACAGTAAGCAGTTGATACAGGCTGTGCGCAAAGCAGCTTCATCTGTTTTTCAGTTTCAATCATAAACTCGTGAGTCAAACAATTCTCTTGATTTGCTACCATCCACGTTTCAGGTATAAAATAAGCTTATGATGGCCTAATCTGTTGGTATTGTATGTTCAATAATACACATCATGCATTGTGGTGCTCGAACACTGCTGTGTTGAACATTTTCCAAATATTTTTTATTAAAAAAAAAGGTTTTCTGTGGGCCATCATACTTTCAAGTGATAAATAGGTGGAAAAAGTTGAGAACCTCTGGTGTAACTCTTTCCTTGGTCGACAAGCAGTTCTATGTTTATTCAGCACAAAACTGACACCACACTGAAGTTTTTTACCCTTCCAGCCTGAGAAAAGAAGCTAAATTGAGATATCTAGTTAGCCAGATAGCGATCATGCTAATTTTAGTTTACAGCTTTGACAAGTCATTTCTGTCGTTTGAGTAATCCTAGCGTGTCCTATAGACCATTTTTACTTCATCCCCTCAAAAAAATAAATAAATAAACAAATAAAAATGTCTGGCAAGGATTTCTAAATTTCTGGCCAGGATTTCTGGCCTTAATGTCCAGGATTTTGCTTTGCTTTCATGTTAACTTTTGCTTTCTACAACCAGCCCCACGCCACTCTCCTGATCGCAGGGTCCTCTTTTTTTCAAACCAGTATATGGTAATGATAATTTAAAGACAGGTTACTGCAGTTATACAGTTATTTGTCTTCCTAGAAGTAACGATATTATAATATCTGATATTCTTCCTGCAATATCTAAGGCTACGTTCACACAGCAGGTAAAAGTGGCCCAAATCTGATTTTTTCACCAAATCCGATTTTTTTGTTTAGCTGTTCAGATTATCTTTTAAATGTGATCCTGTATGTGACATCAGTCTGAACAGATCAGCTCCTAAACTGACCCGCATGCACAAAGAAACACTGAGAGGAACCACGTCACGTTGCTTCATCCAGAGGTGAACAATCATGACTTGCAGCGAACGCCAGTCGCTCCTGGAGGATCAGCTTCATCTTCGCCAGCATGACAGGAGCCATCATGAAGCTTCATTGAGCGACAGCTGGGATCATCACCCAGAATGTGTTCGAGTTGCCCTAAAAAGGGCGCGGTCAGTCCTCGGATTCTTTAAACTTTGCTTTCAGACTTTTAACTGTTCTTTGACGCTGCAGCCTCGGTCTCCTACGGCCGCGTTCGGACATTTCTTTCTAAATCTCTTCAAACACTGAGGTGTTTTGGATACGTCTCTTCCAATTTTTGTACAGAAATATTACCCCAAATGTTTATGAGGTGTGAGCAGTGCGGAATTATGACGAATGTCGAGTTGGACTGACGTAAAAACCACATGAATTCCGATCTGGCTGTTCAGACTGGGTCGCATTGCCGCAGATCAGACACGGATCGGATTTCAGTACCACATATGAAAGCGTCTCAAATAGGAATTGAAAATGTCAGATTCAATGTGTTTTTGCTGATCACACTGACACACAGATACACATCTGTGTCACATATAAAGAAAAAGATCAGATTTGGGTCACTTTTACCTGCTGTGTAAAGGTAGCCTAACAGCTCACCCACGAAAATCAACTCTAAAGCGGTTGTAGTTTTAGTTTGTTGTAGTTTGTAGTTGTAGTTTTTTAATGTTCCTCCCACCTTCAACATAAATCATCAGTAGGCCGTTTGCCTAGTCTTTAAACCTGGTAATCTCACTCTAGAAACCACTGCAGCTCAGCTGAAGGACACAAGCAAGCATGTTTACAGCAGATGTAGTAATGGCTGAATTTTTCTTTTTGGCCAGAGAGCCCCTTTAACATCCCCCACTCACACATACTCACTTGTAAGGTGCTTTGTTGCGCACAGCCACGCTAGTTAGGAGAGACGACTGGAACCAGCCACCAAGCTGATCTTTCCCCTCCACATACACATCTGCACGCGGGTCAGCCTCTGAGAGAGAGACGTTAACAGAGTTAGAGACTAGTAACTGATCACTGCAAGTCGTTCTTCATCTCCTCTCCAGAACAAATCAGCCCTGAGGAACAACATGATTGAGTTGTTTATGTAGAGCAGCAGACAAACAGACAGCAATCATTACAAAGCCGTACAAGCCTAATCAAGAAAAGGCAAGAGGCCAGAAGGGGAAGCAGGGAAAATCCTCAAGCACTTTGGGTCGAGAAACAGAAAGGTTAACTTTAGGAAACCAAACTTTAAAGGTACGCTAAGCAATACAGTTTCGCTCGTACTGGTTCTGTCTGACAACTGTGGGTTATTCTGCTTATTGTACCTTTAAAGGCATCTACCACATGCTTCCATGCAGAAGTCAAGAGAAGAGAGACAGATTGGACGAGTCTGTGTTTAGTGAATTAGTTGATCAATCATTCAAGACAGAGTGACTTTCTGAGATTTTTTTTTAGTCGATATTAAAAACCTTGTTTTGTGGCACTGGACAGGCCGAACCACCCCCGTTTAGTCTTTGTAGATGAAGCTCCGTCATCTTCCTCTCCCACTGAGGAGACAAATATATGAATTTTCCACGTTTGTCTGGAAGCTTCCATTAAAACTCAGTGACAAACACATACTCAGCGACCAATTTATCAGAAACACCCCCTTGTAGCTCCACCTTGCTGGTGTACAGTTAGATACTGTAGGTCATCTACAGTAATTTGTGCTAGTCATCCTTCAGACCTTCATTAATGGTCACAGGCCACAGAGTCGCTCTCGGCTGGATATTTTTGGGTGATGGTCCACTCTGAACCTAGCAGCGACACTGGTGTGTGTAAAAACTCCAGCAACACCGCTGTGTATGATACACTCATACCAGCACCACAGACACTGCCACATCAGTGTGACCTCTGGAGTGAGAATGAAACTGACCAACAGATGGGCTACAGTCTGTTATTGTACATATATATATAGTGACAAGATAAAATGAAGACAAAGCTGACTCACCCTGTAGTACAGCAGCCCAGGACGTTCCACTGTCAAACCAGATGTCCAGAACGTCCTCCCCACGTTCGTAATCCGTCACTGCACCTGCTTTACTCTGAAACACACAAGAATCACGGATTTGTTTACATTATTTATTTACTTTCTATCAATTACCTCAAACTGGAAAAACATTCAGTTCAGTTTTGTTCCTGGTACACTGTAAAACAGGCATACTGTCCCAAAGCAGCTTTCTAGAAACTGTCAGAAAGAGCATGAGGAAGAACCAGAGAGGAACCAAGACTCAAAACGAGAAACTCCATTAGAACATGAGTAAGAACTACTGAGAGAAACCAAGACTCAGAAGGAGAAACTGCAGAAGAACATGAGGTAGGACCAATGAAAGGAACCGAGACTCAGACGGAAAAACTCCACAAGAACATGAGGAAGAACCACTGAGAGGAACCAAGACTCAGAAGGAGAAACTGCACAAGAACATGAGGAAGAACCACTGAGAGGAACCAAGACTCAGAAGGAGAAACTGCACAACACACACACACATACACCCACACACCACACACACACACACACACACACACACACACACACATACACATACACATACACACACACGCACACATACACATACACCCACACACACACACACACAACCTTGCAGCTCCATGTTTACCTTCTTGAGCACATCCGGAGGAAGCAGCGTTTCCAGAGGCTCCTCCCACCAGCTGTCACTTCCTTTCTCTGCAAATACCTTGGCTATGTGAGCCACTGTGTATCTGTCAATCACATGAGCAGTAATGAAATTTCCCAAAGGGGTTCAAACAAAACTACACGTCTGTTTATACAGTACTGTGCAAAAGCCACAGAGAATAAATGTTTGTTCAATTTTGTGAAAACAGCCATTAAGTAGAAGTTCTTCATTTTTTCAGGAGATATTTCTGAGGAGATCAGATATAAGAAAATCCACTTACATAAGGAAGGAGAAAGTCAATGAAAACTAAGTGAAATAACAGCAGCTTCCAAAACTCGAGTTATTAAAAGTTACAGAGAAAATGGGACCCTAACGACTGTAGAAAACAACGCTATGGGTCTGAAAGGATGTGTAGCTGTCAAGAAGCCTCACTGAGAAAAGGAAATAACTAGCTGCAGGTGTTCAGTTGATTTACCACCTCAGAGTCCAGGCCTCAGCATCACTGACAGTGCTGATGTACTAGAGACATGCACAGATTAGAGCTGCTATTATATGAACAAATATATTTGATAATTATTTCACTACATGTTGTTATTTGGCCTGCAAGTTGGTAAACCCTCAAAGTGACATGGTGAAAGACAGGCCAGCATTCATTCTGACCAAAATTATTGATGCTTGTTGTATCATATGAAATTTCAGGCTCATGTACTTATTGCAGACTTCTGTGATACAAGCAGTGTAAAAGCCAATATGGAGAAACCGGAATATTTGCACACCCAATACACAAGTGTGTGTGGAGTTCGTGTGAGAAGTACTTGTTTATGAGTGGCTGTCTCGTCTCTTTGTGGTAGAACACGGGTATAGGAACGCCCCAGCTCCTCTGGCGGGAGATACACCAGTACGTCCGTCTGTCCAGCATGGCTAAGAGACTGGCCCTCGCGGACTCCGGCATTACCCGCACCTTCTGCAGCACTTCCTTTTCCACAAAACACAACATGCATTGTGATACTCAGTTTTTCTGAGATTTAAAACATTTGAACAGACAAAAAAGTAGTGCCACATTTTTTAAAACTCAAAAAATATGAATACAGTAAATACAAAACATGAACGCAATGATTTTTGTTTAACATTTCACAAACTGCACAGCACTAAATCCAGTTAAACAGAACTAACTGTGCTCTCTTTGAACTTGCAGTTGTTCAGTGTTCAGTATTGACAAATTCCACAATATGCATGACATGCAATGAGGCATAAATTATCACGATAATAATGCATATTGTCATACTGACCACCCCTAGTTTGTGCTACTGGCATCAATCTGCTATTGACTGTGAACAGCACAATGTCTGGAGGTCAGTCTGAATCGTTTTTCATTTCTGAAGGAATCATTCCAGTTTTACTTGGTTTTCTCTTTGCCCCAAATGTAGTTTGCTTCTTTAGTTTTGCACTGGAGCCGCTATGGTCATTTAAGCGTATACCAACCGCTGAGCTCCAGAAAAAACTAAACTAACATAGACTAAATTAACATAGATTACAAAAAAGGAGAGCTACAGAAATAGCCTAACATCACTAACAATGAGCCTCATTCACCAACATCTTCCTCAGTTTTTTTCTCAAATGTGTTCTTGATAAAGGTCCTAAGAAAAAGTCGACGTCAGATTCATGACGTGTTCTTAAACCGCAGAACTGTTCACTCCTTTGTGCTCTTGAGTGTGTGTAGATTCTGCTCTTACCTAAGAACAAATCCAAATAAGAAAACGTCAGTGAATGTGAGTCTTTGTGAAAACTGCCTAAGTGGGTTTTAAGAAGAAATTTCTTCTAAAGAACGGTTGGTGAATGAGGCCCAATGCCGTTATCATCTATCATTAGCAACATTAGTAAGTCTGAGTGCGGGATTGTGGGGTCACCTTGGCCTTGTCTTTAAGGTTGGCTGTGTTTATGAACCACTGTTTGCTGGCTCTGATGACCACTGGCTTCTTACTCCTCCAGTCGTACGGGTAACTGTGCACACACTCCTCCTCTTTCACCAACGCGCCGGCAGCCCTCAGCATAGATATCACTAACACACACACATGCAAGTCTGTCAGTAAATACAATGTAATATCACTCCAATATCAATACATGTTTTGCAACTACGTAACTGTGAGCGTACTGGTTCAGTGTTGGCACTCATGCCTTAGACACTGCTGTCGTCCTACATCAGCTAAGGCTTTGTAGAACGGTCCCAAACTTGACCACATTAAACTGATAATTATTCAATTTTCTCCTTTCCCCAAATTAAGTCAGATAAGAGGCAAACATATATGTTTTGACTGATCATCTACATACACTGGGGTACAATTAGAGCTAGGGTTATGTTCTTTTTCCATCAAGAACACCAGCAGATTCATTTTTTTGGGCTTAAAGGGGACGTGCACCGATTTTTCAAAATTGCTGTATAATTCAATGGTTTAGATGTAGGCAACGTCACCCAGAGTGGTTTGGTGCGAAATGCTCCGTTCTAGAGACACTTGCAGAGTCAGAATTGTTCACAGTGGTGGTGATAGGAACCAGCCATCCATCTCCATCATAGAAAGGTATTACACAAAATGGTTATGAATATACAGCCTGATCTCTGAGACATTGGTAGTTTTGTGATGAAGTTATTGGTCTAAAATGTATTTTAATCCATTGTTCATGGTGGAGGGAAAGATGAAGGGTGTTCTAAGGCAAAACAGTCCTCAAAGAAATTTAATCTTCTCAGGTTTATCGCTATTTAACCGTCATTGACATTGCATATTAAAACTAAGACAACATGTGTAGGTTTACTGGTAGTTTTGGATAGTAAAAAATGGCTATATTTTCACTGTAGACATCAGGACCCCTGGTTCCTATCACCACCACTGTAAAGAGACCAGAGTTGGTAGGTTTCTCTGTAAATGAACCATTTCACATGAAAACACTCTGAATGACATCTCAACCTCTGAATTGGACAGAAATTTTGAAATATTGGTGGAATTCCCCTTTAAGGCTTGAATGCAAGTTCCTCTTTATTCTGTATTCCATAGATACAGTTGTGTAGATTTCATTCTTTTTTGCCAAATAGTTGCTTTAAGCTCAGAGGATTCCTTTGTTCCCCCTCTCTAACCTGTAGAAGTGCCTTCGTCAAGCACGGACTGTCCCCTGTAGTTCAGCACCAGCCAGCTCTGTAAACCTCCCCTCCTCATCTACTATACACTCCTGCAGAGAGAGCGAGCACAGGGCAGAGGAGAAGCGTCAGGATATGGGCTACTCCTACTCAAAATAACCAAAATCAGTCTCACCCCTATGACAATCGTGGTTTTAGAGACTCACCACAGGCAGGTTGAAGTGAGTGGCCACGCTGTAGTCCTCCATGCCGTGGGCAGGAGCAGTGTGGACCAATCCGGTACCTTTGGCCATGGTCACATGATTAGCTGGCAATAGTGGCACCTCTTTGCCAGAGATGGTGGGATGCTGGCAGACTCCACCCTCCAGATCAGACCCTAGAGAGAAAGTAGAATGAGAGAGAGAGATTCAAACATAAACTGGATTTGGTAAATTAATTGGTAGAAAATTGGTTCAGTACAAATAAAAGAGTGAAAACAAAACAAAATCACCATTTAAAGAGATTTTTCCACTTGTTAACATTTTCCAATTTTCCAATAACAGAATTAAACATACTTTTGTGTTATTGTGTCTTTAAAACTGATATATGTAAATGTCCTCAGACCTGGGTGACTCCTTCCCCTATGTAATGAAGCACATTATGTTCAAAAAGCAGTCCAGGCTGATATGTATGGAAGAAAGTATCAATGGGGAATTCAACCGATTTTTCTAAATGTCTGCATAATGGTTAAATGGTTGAGATGCACACAAAGTCATTCGGAGAGGTTTGGTGTGAAATGCTTGCCGAGTCAGAATCGTTTACAGTGTTGGTGATAGGAACCAGACATTTGAAGAGTTTAATGTCTCTAAAAGCTCCATCGCAGAAAGTTATGACACAAAATATTAATGAAAATGTCGCTTGGTGCCCAAGATATTGCTTTGTAATAGTAAAAATATTTTAATTTATTCATGGCAGAGAGGTACATGCAGGGTGTTGTGAGGCGAAACAGTACCCCAAAAAAACATTATTTCTTTGGATTGACCACTATTTCACCATCATTAAACAGTACATATAAAAACTTGTGTAAGTTCACTGGTTATTTTGTATACCAAGTCAGCAAGTTTCTTTACATAAAACATACTTTACAATAAGCCACTCGGAATGACTTTGTTTAAATGTAAATGACTGAATTGTGCGGAAATTTTGAAAACTCTGTGGAATTCCACTTAAAGTCTCAAGCCTGCAGGGACTTTGGAAAAACTGAACTTCAGTCTCTCCTTTTGGGTGTATGGGTGCTCTGGAAGGCAGCAGTGAAACGTTTGCTTCCCGACAGCCATGAACAGCACAACGTTTGATCATTTTTCTCACTTCTTCCCATCCAGTAACTCAATCCACATCACTTCAGCCTGAATGGGTAGCTAAGTTGCTGTAGGCTGATTGGCAGGTCATATGTAAATGTGTTTCATCACAGTCATGATGAGCTGAAACAGGCTTAGTTTCCAAATACATTTTTGAACCAATACTTACATAATACACTAACTTTACATGATGCAGAATATTTTACCCAAAATGATGATGTATACCTATGAACGTGGCCAGGCTCTGCAGGTCAGTGCCCAGTGCAGAGGTCAGACTGGCAATTCTCTCAGTGGCCACTAGGAGGAGCTGCTCATTATCTGTTCTCTTCACCAAAGAGTACCTGTGGATATAGATACATTCACTGTGAGACTAAGTTACTGCAATGATGAGAGTAAGTCTGCATAATTCAAAGCCACAGCTCAGGTGAGGTTGTGTGTCTGCTGGACTCACTGGGCTTTGGGCATGAAGCAGACGGCCTGGTTGGCCGGTATTGTCCACGGCTGTGTTGTCCACACCAGCACAGATACTTTACCCGAAGCCTCTGAAAGAAACGAGGGGATACATGAAGTTCAAATTAGAATCGGTTTTATAACTTATGCTGGACTTTTATTGCAAAAGTGAATGAAGAAAATGAGAGAGAGGTGGAAAGAAAGAGAGAGAAAGTAAAGGAAAGTCTACCTAAGCTTGACACTAGTTTAGATGGCAGTGTGGTCAAGGGGAAAGTAGCGTATACAGCCTTGCTCACATGCTCAGCATTATACTCCAACTCAGCTTCTGCCAGCGCCGTCCTGCACAAAGAGAAAGCACCATGGAAACAGTGAAACTACAACAAACTCAACCGAAATGTGAAAAAAATACAACAACAGTGCCTTAAAAAAAAAAAGTATTCAAACCCCTTTAAAGTTGTCAGATTTAGCCAGATCACAAATAACACTGACATTTTGTGCTGGGTCATTTTTTGTTACTAAAGACTGACCCTCAAAATGAGTGAATTTAAACCGATATTGGTTTATGTAAGAAAATATTCAGTGACAAAAATTACTAACTGAAAAATGCTGTTTGGACAGGTATCCAACCCCTGTGCTGTGGAAGCTTCAAGAAACGGCCCTAAAAAAAGCCTCTAGTTTTGGATCATTAAAAAAAGGTTCACCTTTTCTGGATAAAAGACCCACTTAATTCAAGTACCATTGATCAGACTGTGAATCTGAAGGAAGGCTGTGGAAATGAAGACTAAAGAGCATTCTAAGGAAATCAGAGATAAAGTTACAGTCATGCACAAGACAGAAAAAGGCTACAAAACAGTATCCAAGTGTTTCAAAGTGCCAGTAAACACCACTGGATTCACTGCGGGGAAATGAAAGCTGCATTATACCACCTAGGCACTGCCTAGACAAGGCTGACCCTCAAAACTCATCCCTTGCAGCAGAGCAAGAAGGAGGCTTGTGAGAGAAGCCACATAAAAGGCCAACAGTAACTTTGAAGAGCTACAAAGAGCTGAGGCTGGAGTGAAGGTGCACCAGTTAATAATATCAATAGCTTTGCATACAGCTGGCCTGTATGAGAGGGTGGCTAGAAAGAAGCCATTACTGAAGAAAAACCACATCAAAGCACGTCTAGTGTTGGCCAGAAAGCATCAGAGTGACCCAGTTAAAATGTGGGATAAGGTTTTGTGGTGAGATGAGACAAAAATAGAGCTTTTTGGCCAAAATTCAGAAAGCTGTGAGACACAAACCTGCTTAAGAATCAACTTTAAAACGAAAGCTTGGGAGAAAAGTCATCATTCAGCAGGGCAATGATCTGAAGCACAAGGCCAAAGCAACCGAGTGGTTGAACAACAAAAAGGTGAATGCTCTATAAGAGTCATCCAACTAACCTAAACCACCTGGAGCAAATCTGCCAGGAAGAACGGGTGAAGAAACTTATCCCAACAGACTCAAAGTTGTTACTGCAGCGAAAGGTGGTATTACCATGTACTAGTACACTTATGCAAGTAGCTGCTTTGAAAATGTTCTTTTAAGAGCATTTTGGTTTGCAGTATAAATACTGGCTGGAACGATCCGAGTGTCATTTGTAATCCAGATAAATCTGCTGACTTTTAAGGGGGATGAATACTTTTGCAAGGCACTGTATACAATTCTCTGTGTTTCCCACAGGTCTGAAATATACTGGGGGAAGCATACAGGAGGGGTGTCAGTCTTCTATTACATAGAGATATCTTAATATCATTTTTACTTAATTGGGTATTCAAATAAGGCAGGCATGGTTTTGAATTAAAATAAACAAACAGTCTCTGGGTTCTCCAGTGGCACAACCATCTATGGTTTTGTCCTGTTGTAGGGATAAAACCATAGATGGAGCACCAAAAAAGTAGTTAAATATCAGTGCATTGTCTGTGACTTTTACCGTAAAATTCACAATATTTTGGCGATATCTTCAGAACCTTTAAAACTGTGGGTTGTTGATATTATCAACCAAATGGTCTGTTGGCCTTATACACACACCTGGTCTTATGCAGACCAACAGATTGTAGAGTTATCCTACCTGGTTGAAGGAGACCAGAAGACAGGCTTGTAGTCCTGATAAATCAAACCCTGAAAAGTAATACAGCGTAATATAACATCAATATTCAAAAACCACCTGTCCATTCATTTCATTATTCTAGGATTATTAAAGCAAAACAGTTTTTTTAAGCATGTAGTCAATCACTGAGATGTAAAGAGGGGTTTCAGATTTCTTTAGAGTGGTGGTGATAGGAAACAGGGGTCTACAATGCTAATATAACCATTTTATGTACTACCCAAAATAACCAGTGACCACATGTCTTCTGCGTTTTTACAACCCCATTTCCAAAAAAGTTGGGACGCTGTGCAAAATGTAAATAAAAAACAAAATGCAATGATGTGCAGATCATTTAAATAGTATATTTCACTGAAAATAGTACAAAGACAACATATCAGATGTTTTTATTGGTTTTTGAAAAATATTTGCCCATTTTGAAATTGATGCCAACAACACCTTCAAAAAAAGTTGGCACTTACAGTAACATAATTGGGTATAAAAAAAAAGCATCCCGTCTTTCAGAAGTAAAGAAGAGGAGGGGTCCACCACTCTGTGAAAGTCTGCACGATCAAATAATGCAACAATTCAAGAATAACGTTTCTTAACGTAAAACAGCAAAAAAACGTTCATTGCTGCCTCCACAAATGCAAGCTAAAACTCTAAAATGGAAAAACAAACCATTTATAAATAGGATCCAGAAATGCTGCCACCTTCTCTGGGCCTGAGCTCAATTAAAATGGACTGAGGTGAAGTTTATTTTACAAAAAACAATAAAATTTCTATTTCAACGTTTGATATGTTGTCTTTGTAGTATTTTCCTTTAAAAGTGTGGTTTACATGATTTGCGTATCATTGCATTCTATTTTTATTTACATTCACTGCGTCCCAACTTTATTGGAAATGTATATGTAATGTTGACGATGGTAAAATAGTGGTAAAACCTGTGGGACATTCTGCCTTGCAATACCCTGCATATACCTCTTAACCATGAAAGGCTTATAAAAATACATTTTAATCCAAAATCTTCTCTGAAAACGAGTGTAAAACAGTGTCATCAGGCATCGGGCAACACATTCATAACCGGTTCCTCTAATAACTTTCTGTCATGTAGCTTTTAGAGGTATTAAACGCTTTGGACAACTGGTTCCCATCACTACCACCATGATCAATTCTGAATCAGTACCTTTCTTAAGAATGGCACGTTTCACATCAAACCACTCTGAATGACTCAATTAATCATACAGAAACACTGTTACACTGTTAGTCTGCTGGCATAAAAGAAATGTATGATATCTATAATTACATCTAAAAATATATAATATTGAAAATGCAGCACTAATTGGAACTAGTTGCACAGGGTGAGGTGTCACCTTGCTGTGCATGTCCTCAAAGACCCGCAGCTGCGCGGCCTCGTACTGCCCGTTAAAGGTGTAGTAACAGTTCTGCCAGTCGGCCATCACACCCCATCGCTGGAACGCCGCCCGCTGACGCGCTATTGCCCCCTCTGCAAACTCCCGTGCTGTACGGCACAAACAAAGGCAGAGAGAGGGTAAAAAAAATCAGAGGTACACAGAAGCGTCATGTAGAGTGTATAAAAGTGGTTTTCAGTGTAATTTTCATGAATTCAATGAAAAAATAAATAATTATCTTCAAATAACTGTAAACCAAGTCATTGTATAGGTGTTCATGTTTAGTTCAGAAGTTTAGTTTACAAGCCAGCAGCAAGGCACTGTCTTTTTGTTATACATTATGCTATTACATTATGGTGGTTGGTATAGTGTAGTGGGTGACACCTCTACCTTCTACACTGTTCAATCCCCTGGCTGGGTAAACACCCTGCACTATACCAATAAGAGTCCTTGGGCAAGACTCCTAACACTTCCTTCGCCTACCTGTGTAAAATGATCAAACTGTAACCCGCTCTGGATAAGAGCGTCTGCCAAATGCCGTAAATGTAACGTAAATGTACATTATTACATAGTTACGTATAGAATTACACTTGCATTCAAATTACATGCAGTATTAACAGGTTCAAGTCCACATCATTTCTGTTTCAATGTCATAAAATGACAAAAATAAAGCACAAAGTCCTGCAAAACAAATCTCTGTGCCACATTTGATTCATAATACAATAACTAAATAGTGAAAGTTTAAAATTCATGTTTGGACAGAATTTCTCCACTACTTCCACTGAGCTGCAAGTCAGAGACTTTTTTTTATTGTTTTTTTATTATTTTATTCTATTTTATTTATTTATTTTAACTTTTTTATTTAATTTCTAGACAAATTTGCAAATGCTGTTCTTTTTTGTCTATTTTCTTTTCTCAGTAACAGCTTCTTGAAAGCTGCTCATCCTTCCACAGGAAGGATGGAGAGAAACACCTGTGGATGTTTTCAGATCTGAAGCAGCTTGATTTTCTCCTCTCTCTCACAGATGAAAGCCTTAAGTGCTGTTTATCTGATGGGGTCAGTTTTGGTGTCCACCAGCTCTTTTCTCTAAATCTTTTATTATTTTCTGAACTCCAGTTTTGGAAACTCCTGTTTTTTTCACCTATTTTACTTTGACCTTTCCCTTACTTATGTAATTGAATCATATCTAATCTATCCTGAAAAATGAACAGTTCACACTTAAGGGCTGTTTTGACTGGTAAATAAACGAAGAGTGGTCTCTGACTTGCACTGTACTGTGATAAGACAAAATGTAAGAGGAGGTGTTTACACTGTGGGGAGCTTATGAGGCAGCTACAGCAGGGCTGTCTCTGCTGAAAGTAATACATGTACATGTGTGACCTTTCAGCTCCTAACTCCTGACCTTTCTGTCTGATCTGTAGAGGGGTCAGGTCTTTGGTCTGCAGCTCCCCCAGTGCCTTCAGCTCGATGGGCAGTCCATGGCAATCCCAGCCCGGGACATAGTGCACCTTCCTCCCTCTCAGCATTTCAAAGCGATTATGAATGTCTTTAAGAATCTGCACAGAACAACATTACAGTGAATAAGACTGGAACTGGAGATGCAACAAACCAACCTTTTCTCTCCTGATACAGATTCCAATACCTGAATTAATAGTGTTGGCTAAGACACTCATGTTTTATAGTTACAATAATAAAGGCTTTAAATAATAATCTTCTAGGAAGTTTATAAAACTGCACTGTTACAATTTTATAATGACCAAAAATAAGCTTAATAATGTCATAGTTCTGATGGCGTTCCAGTATAAGGACCATTATTAGGTAATAAAATAATTTAAACTGTGGTCAGTAAAAACACTAACAGTAAAAACGCACATAGTAACAAACAGTATTAAGACCTTAGATATTTACACAAATTATGTCATGTTCTATTTAAACCCAAGATGATAACTGACATAGTAATAAGCTAAATATAGACAAATATACAAGGTTGCAGGGTGTTTAAATTTTAATCTGTGAATTTTGTTTATTTTCCATTATATATATATATATATATATATATATATATATATATATATATATATATATATATATATATATATATATTAGGAGCGCGGGAAAAAACGATTCTTAGATGCATCACGATGCAGACGTGGACGATTCTGAATCGATTCACAAATATGAAAAATCGATTTTCTAAATATTTCATTTATAACGTAATGTTGACGGAACACAAAGGACGGAACTTGGAAGTGGGTAAGTGCAGCGCCCGGACAGTCTGTGGCGGCACACAACAAAAACACAACTGGATGAGTGAGAAATCCAACCGGCTCCCTCTGCATTAAAGCCAGGTTAGGTCAGGAGTCACAGCACAAATGTTAAGAAGAGCCATTTTGTCCTTTCATGTGATGATGTCCTAGTATAGACTAAACAATATAAACGAGAGCGCAGATTTACTTTGCTCTGCTTTAAGCTTCGCCTACAGCCACTTTCCTCCCAACTCCGCCAGAAAACTTTTCCTCAAAAGTTGAACAGTTTCTTGTAAAATGTCTTTCAGCTTTCAGTTGTTTTACGAGGCTGAAGTCGCTTCTCATTCTACAGCTTCTTGCTGAACTTTCCCGTTCCACCTTAAATTCTGACTGAGACGCCGAATGTAATTGCGGCACCATTTAAGGTGGAACGGGAAAATTAGAAAGAGAAGCGACTTCATCTAAGCAACTTTTTAGTGTTTGTCAGTCTCTCTTTGCAGATTTAACGCATCAGGAAACCAACTGCGCTGCTTATAAATGCGAATTTATAAGTCCATTCATCTCCAAATGTTCGTCTATCTTTCTCTTTCCCTTTTTCGTTCGCTACTCGCTCGGCGAAACCTCGTTGCTACGTGACCTGCAGTCTTTCGCGCTCCACCCCCCCTTAGTTTAGCCACACATTTTAGAGCAGGAAGTGAGACTGCATGCCTGTCTCTCATGGCCACACGGTGAGCAGTTAGATCCCATTGTTTTGAAGTAAATATGTCCCAAAGTCCGAGAGGCGGTGCATAACATTAAGAACTGTCACTACCGAAACACATATTTTCTGAAATAAAATTTTTTGTGTTTAATTTAAAAATATTATGATTTTATGAGTGTACCACTGTTCAAAGCTGTCTATGCTAGTGATGTACTGGCTTGAATTTTTGAGTTCTGCTCAAAATGAGCTAAAACTGTCACCACCGAAACATTCACTACTGAAACACTTGGTAAAATTCCAGTAGGGTTATGACTGTTTTGTTCAATCTTTTGTTTTAATTAAATAAACATAACTAAGGTACAGGGTCACTCAAAGCAAAGGGATTTTAGCTTATTGTCAAAGTCAGTTAAAAGTCCAAAATGTGTTTTCAACTCTGAGTTTGAACCAGTTCAGCATGACCCATACTGACCCATACTGGATCAGCGCATCACCAATGGGTAATCAGAACATTCAGAACTTAATGCTTCAGTCAGGATCTGCTGAAACAACACCACAGCCAACCTGGAATTAATTCCGAGTTCACTCACAGGCAGCATGTCAAACAGACACATTTTCCATTGTCAGCTCAGGAGCCGGTCAGTCCAAAGCCTTGGCAAAACATCATAGACTTCTGGCTGGGAAAGAGCCTCAGTTACCTTGTTGAGAGCATGACCAACATGAGCGTCTCCATTAGCATAGGGAGGTCCGTCATGAAGACAGAACTCCTTCTTCGCCTTCCTGTCTCTCTGCCAGGCGTACAGCTGGTCGAAAGCACATTCCTAGACAACATCATAACAGTTCAGAACATCAGCATCCAAAACAAAATACACTGAAAACCCTCCTGCTTCATTATTTAGACTGTCCCTGTTATTTCCTGCATTAGCTTTACCCCAACCCTAAAAAGCTGTCTTAAAGCTTCCGTCTGAAATGTCTCACTATTAGCACAGGAAGACTTTTACATCATCACTTTCAAAACACACAATTTAATAACGAAAAGAGTGACTATTACATTACTGTAGCCTATGGTTGCTCATTCTTAGTGCTTAGTATCAAATCTTTGCCACAATTATTAAAGAATTGTCTAAACACCATTCTTCAGGCTGACTGCAATTATTTTCCACAGATGTCTGATTTCACAAACATATCGCCGCTGTCGGAAAACAAAACTTAATGTAAAAAGATTCTTTTCCTAGTAATTTTTGACCGATTCTATTGGGCCGTTCACCATGAAATTTGAACACAATGCAAAGGGTAATCAGAGTTTTTGGATTATGCAACAGGGATGATGCGTTTATATTGCAACAGATTTTTAAAATGGGCGCATTTTCTACAGTTGTGTTAAGGCAAATTCATGTAAATGAAAACTGTATATATATATATATATATAGAGAGAGAGAGAGAGAGAGAGAGGGAGAGAGAGAGAGAGTGAGGTATATAGATAGATAGAGAGATAGATAGCTAAAGATAGACAAAACCTTGAATCTTCATCTTTACTTTTTTGGCCTAATTTGAAAAACCCTCTGCACTGTTTAAAAAACCGACAGAAACTGTTCAAAATTACTTTTAAAAAAATCTCATTATTTTGACCTCCTTTCCAAGTTAGGAATGTTTTTTCCTTCTCCTGAAAAGTTGCCACTTCTGAGATTCGGAGAGGTTTTGTTCCAACAGCAACGAAACAGATGATGAGAATCTGGATTTAAAACATGGCAAAAACCTTTAGCCTTTTAAACTACTTGAGACCACCGGTGGTTCCAAGATGCACTTCGTCATATTCTTCATAACTTTCATATTTCATGACCTACATTCTAAAGGTGGGGGTCGTATGAGGCTGTAACTGTCTTCTTTACAGTCAAATAGATGGGTGATGTAATTTTAAACCCTTATAATAAAAGAAGCTGAAAGTCGACCCATTTTTTCAGTGAATCATTTGCCTTATGAATTGGTCATGTAGATTCAGATGGACAAACCAAAACATACCCGCGAGCATAGACCAATGAAGAATTTAACTTTTCACTGCATTTTTAAATTATATTGTATCATATTATTACATTGTTGCTATTTAAATGATACTATCATTGATCTCCATCATGGTTAAGACTCTTCAGTGTTAATGGACCTGGTCTGAGGCTGTTTTTGGAAAAGGACCATACTTTCCACACTGGATTCCCACACCCCCCACCACACACACACACACACACACACACACACACACACACACCCCCCACCCCTCTCCCCTCTCTGTACCCGCTGGATCTGCAGCTCCCGCTCCAGCAGCTCCTGGCCGGTGAGTTTCATGGGGAAGCTGGTTCGGGGCAGCAGCACAGTGTGCCGGTGATCTCCGGGCCGGTTGTTGCCGGCTGGCTGAGCCGTGTCTCCGGGCGGAGCGGCAGCGCGGCCGCGACTCTGGGTGAAGGAGAGAGCGGGCCGGAGCGGAGCCGCTCTCCGTAGAGAGAGCCCGCACCGAGCCGCGCCCCCACCCAGCGCCCCAATGCGCCTCAGCAGCATGGAGAGACCGACTTCTCGTACTAAGCGGAGCTCGGAGAGATTAAAATCACGGCTTTAGCGTTTAAATCATCACTGAGCGGAGTGCGCGAGGAGCTGTTTACACGACCTCTCCGCCGCGGAACGCTATGGTTCTCACTCGCTGTTTCCCCCGGAATCATAACGATGGT